GAGAGCTAATGAGTCTGTAATGCAATTTGGTGCCAATAAACTGGTACGATATTAACTCTAAGGCTATGAGATTTACTCTATAAAGCCAATGCAATTAAAGACTAAGAACCCGATCCTCCACCTGCTCCAGTTCTTCTAGTTCGAGTCATTCTAGCGCCGACTTCCCGCTGACATTGTCTGGTGATGTCATGGTGAGAATTTTGACAGTCATTAAATTTCTGCCTGGAGGGCCAACGGGACCAAAGAAACTCAGAAGTGAGTGGGACATAAAGCCACCGAGGGCAGAAAGCCGTTGTCTACAAAGTTAACATGTCAAACACAAGACCCCCTCTTCCTGGTCTCCTGCTAGCATTGCGGTGATGAGAGCCAGCTGTCTTGAACATTTACTAGAGGACAGGCCATGTTCTAATTAGGCACTTGATTTAACTCATTCAGCCCTCACAACAAAGAACAAAGTTATGGGCCAGGCGCAGTAGCTCATGCCTGTAATCCCAGCACTTTGGGAGGCCGAGGCGGGCAGATCACAAGGCTGGGAGTTCAAGACCAGCCTGACTAACATGGTGAAACCCTGTCTCTATAAAAATACAAAAATTAGCCAGGCATGGTAGCGGGTGCCTGTAATCCCAGCTATTCAGGAGACTGAGGCAGGAGAATCGCTTGAACTGGGAGGCAGAGGTTTCAGTGAACTGACATCAGGCCACTGCACTCCACCCTGGGCAACAGAGCAAGACTCCATTCAAAAAGAAAAAAAAAAAAAATAACAACTTTATGGACATCCTCCCCACTGATTTTTTAATTTTTTTTTTTTTTTTTTTTTTTTTTTTTTTTGAGACAGAGTCTCGCTCTGTCGCCTGGGCTGGAGTGCAGTGGCCGGATCTCAGCTCACTGTAAGCTCCGCCTCCTGGGTTTATGCCATTCTCCTGCCTCAGCCTCCTGTGTAGCTGGGACTACAGGCGCCCGCCACCTCGCCCAGCTAGTTTTTTGTATTTTTTAGTAGAGACGGGGTTTCACTGTGTTAGCCAGGATGGTCTTGATCTCCTGACCTCGTGATCCGCCCGTCTCAGCCTCCCAAAGTGCTGGGATTACAGGCTTGAGCCACCGCGCCCGGCGATTTTTTAATTTTTTAAAGAGACGGGGTCTCACACTATTGCTCAGACTGGTCTCAAACTCCTGAACTCAAGTGATCCTCCCACTTTAGCCTCTCAAAGTGCCGGGATTGTAGGCATGAGCCACCTTGCTGACCGGTAGGTTCTATCTTTATCCCCATTTTGCAGATAAGGAAACGAAGGCGTTGGCAGGATACACACATTGTGTGAGATCAGGCAGCCAGATTCAAACCTATGCCTCCTACATTATACCTTTAATCATCCTACAGACTGCTTCAAGTAAGTTTTTCCAAATAAATGTCTGATGCTTTTTTTCCATGGTTTGAGGCGAGAGGAACAAAATAAGACATGATGGGATTTTTTTTTTTTTTTTGTAAAGTTCAATTTACAGTGGAGTCTCATCTTGCAGGTCAGGGACATTTCTAAGTCAGCACATAGAAAATGAAATTTTCAGCCGGGCGCAGTGGCTCAAGCCTGTAATTCCAGCACTTTGGGAGGCTGAGACGGGCGGATCACGAGGTCAGGAGATCGAGACCATCCTGGCTAACACGGTGAAACCCCGTCTCTACTAAAAAATACAAAAAACTAGCCGGGCGAGGTGGCGGCGTCTGTAGTCCCAGCAACTCGGGAGGCTGAGGCAGGAGAATGGCGTGAACCCAGGAGGCGGAGCTTGCAGTGAGCTGAGATCCGGCCACTGCACTCCAGCCTGGGCGACAGAGCGAGACTCCGTCTCAAAAAAAAAAAAAAAAAGAAAATGAAATTTTCTTTAAATTACCTTTTGTATTTACTTCAAATTAGCTTTGTTCTATCAGCGTAGGAGTTTGAATTACACATTTGTCAAAACTTATTGGATGGTCCACTTTAGACTTGTGCATTTCACGGTATCTAGATTTGATCTCAAAAAATCATAAACACATACTGGATTCTAGTGAGTGATGAGCATGCTGAAGGGGTTAGGGGTGAAGTATACTGACCTCAGCAATTGCTTTTAAAATGCATCAAAAAATAAGATGAACTGATGAGTGGAGAGGGGGCGGATAAAGGAATAAACATGAGATAAGGCCAGCTGAGTTAAACGTTAATGGTAGAATCTAGGTTGTGGATATATGGGTGTTCACTGCACAATTCCTTCCATTTCTCTGTATGTTTGGGGAAAAATGTAAATATAATGTTAAGGGAGAATGCTCAGTTGAGCATTTGATGAAGGAGTTGGTTTGAGTTTAGTAGCCAAGTTGTGTGAATAATATATAACTTTAAGCACTCAGCAAAGTGTGACACTCACAATGTGACATAATGTCAGACTGGCAACAAAGACTGGGAAATGTAGTCTATCCATGTGTCCTGCTAAGTGTGTTTCATTAGCATAAAAAAGAAAACAAACAAACAAATATTGAGGGACATGATCCCTTTACATCAGTAAAAAGATGAGGGAGATTGCCAATGCTATTGAAAGCATTTGCGGCTGGGTGTGGGGGCTCACGCCTGTATTCCCATCACTTTGGGAGGCCAAGGCAGGAAGATCACTTGAGCTCAGGAGTTTGAGACCAACCTAGGCAACATGGCGGAACCTGTCTCTAGAAAAAAATACAAAAATTAGCTGGGTGCAGTAATGTGTGCCTGGAATCCCAGCTACTTAGGAGGCTGAAGGGGGAGGATCCCTTGAGCCCAGGAGGTTGAGGCTGCAATGAGCTGTGAATGCACCACTGCACTCAAGCCTGGGTAACAGAGGGAGACTCAATCTATACATACATACATACATACATACATACAATAAAGCATTCTCTTCCGACCCCAGAGCATTTTTGTTTTGGTAACTGAATTCCAATAATTTAAATCTGTATGGGATGTGGTTTCAGTATAGTTATTTCAAAAATCTGTTCCTTTTGGATAATTTACTCCAGAAGAAGACAGCTGTCCTGTTGTGAGGGCACTCAAGGACCCCTGTGGGGAGGCCCACAAGCTGAAAAACTGAAGCTGCCTGGCAAAAATCAGCACTAACATGCTAGGTGTGTGCTGAGCCATACTGGAATCACTGCTGCCAGCTTCAGTCAAGCCTTCAGATAATGCAGCCCCCAGTTGAGATCTTGGCTGCAACTTCATGAGAGAACTTGAGCTAGAGCCACTCAGGGAAGCTGCTTCCAGGCTTCTGACCCACAAAAACTGTGTGAGATAATAAATGATTATTGTTTTAAGCCACTAAAAAAATACTCTAAGAAGATACACTTCCACTCTGTTGGGCATGAAAATAACTATTTTCTTTTACAGGAGAAACTGGTACTAATGATAGTCAAAGCAGGTTCTCTTCTCTCCTTAAGTCCTCACTTAGTAAAATGAAAAGTTGGCAATTCTAGGTTAATTCCTCAAATACTTTACCTTCTGCCACTCAAAAATGTGGACAGGGCTTTTGTCTGCTTTGTTCCTTGTTACCTATCCAGTGCCTGGCATAGATAGTCACTCAATACATAAATATGTGTTGAATTAATTTTAATGCTTCATGAAATCTAAAAAGTTGAGGGAAAGAAAAACCTGCATCAACACACCAGAAGTCACTAAGTCATTACTAAATAAATGGATGGTTAGACAGATGTCCCTAAACTATAGCCCAGCCGCACACAGACAACCTGTGACTGTGTGTCCATAGACATAGTTGTCACGACCTCCCAACCAGCAGGAACAGAAAGAACCAAGTCCCATCCAGGATTCCCTTTATTACAAGTAACCCTCCATCAATTTCATCCCAAGGAGGAAAAGAATGACTCTTTCATATTCCCAAAAGCCAAGAGGACCCTGTGTGTTTTGATGCCTAAAAAAGAATCACTTGAATTCTGCATCTCTCTGGTGGAGAAGGAAGAAAAGACTGCAGCAGTGGATGGAAACACAGCAAAGAAGAAGTCCTAAATCATCATATTTCCTACTCTCTAGATAGGCACAGTGGTAAATTCTGTCACCTACTTACTGAGACCTGAATTCTTGGCAATGGGTAAATCCACAGTTCATGATTCAACTCATACTTAACAGTTGTCCACATTCTCAAGCCCTTGCTATGTGTCAAGCGCTGCGCTTTGCATACACATTATTACTAAATCTCATAGCCAGTTTTTTTGTTTTGAGACAGAGTCTTGCTCTGTCACCCAGGCTGGAGTGCAGTGGCACAAACACAGCTAACTTCAGCTCAAGTGATCCTTCCACCTCAGGTTCCCAACTAGTTGGGACTGCAGGTGCATGCCACCATGTCCAGCTAATTTTTTAACGTTCTGTAGACACAGGAGTCTCACCATGTTGCCCAGGCTGGTCTTGAACTCCTTGATTCATGTGATCCTCCGCCTTGGCCTCCCAAAGTGTCATGGCCAATTTTTAAGGTCGATATTAACATCATAACCCATTTTACAGATGAGGAAACTGAAATTCAGAAGGATTCTAAAATGTATCTGTGTGCATCCAAATATGGGCAGATGGAACCCAAACTTGAACTCAGTTCCACCTGACTCCCACACCAGTGCCCTTACTACTACATCATGAGGATTCTCTGAATTGAATATCAAAGAGGGTGGCATTGTTATTGGGTCTATTTTACAAATGAGAACTAGAATTGAGACCATAAATTCAAACTTTCATCAATTACTATTAGGGGGTTAGAACACTCCAGTGGATGTCTCTTGTTTCATTCTCTTTGGCATTCTTTCTCCCTTCTTCTGGTGACAGCACCCTGATTTTTCTCCACACCTTCCCAGTTCTCAGTTTATTGATCTAGCCCCAATGGCCCCAAAAACACATGACCTAGGCCTGTCCACTACCCCCACTGCTCACTGTGGGTTTCAGAGTGGGAAAGTGATCCAAGCTGATCCGATAAGAGAGTATCAGTTAGCTTCTGCTGCATAACAAACATCTCCAAACTTAAAGTCTTCAATAACAAATATTTATTATTTTTTATAATTCTGTGGGTTGGCAGAGTGGTTCATCTGGCCTAGGCCAATTCAACTGACCTGTGTAGTCTCTTGGTGGCTTGGCTGAAGCTGAGTGATCTAGGATGGTCTCACTCTCACGTCTGGTGGTTGGTAGGCTAGCTGGTCTACAGGTTCCACACCTGGGACTGCTTGTCTCTACTCCATGTAATTTCCCATCCTCCAGTAGGCCATGTCAGTCTTGTTTATGTGACAGCAGCATTCAAAGAGATCCAGAGCAAAGGCTGAAAAGCATGTCACTGTCACTTTTACCATAGTCTATTGTTCAAAACAAGTCACAAATCCAGCCCAGATGCAGGGACTGGAGTAATACACGCCACCTCATAGTGGAAGGAGCTGCAAAGAATTTGAGGCCATGTGCAATTTACTCTAGAGTCAATCTTGGGGCTTTTGCTGGAAAATTAAGAAAGAAAAGCCCTTTTTCCATCAAGGGTACTGGTTGAGTAAGCCTGGAGATGCTACCAGGTGTCCTGTCATTGCAAGGAAAAGCCTTGCTGGAGAGGAAAGGATCACAAAGACTAGAGATAAAAATCGGCTTCACTGGAACTTCTGGATCCAGTCAGACCTGAAATTGACACACACCTGTAAATCTCAGCACTTTGGGAGACCTAGGTGGGAGGATCACTTGAACCCAGGAGTTTGAGACCAGCCTGGGCAACGGAGAGAGACCCCATCTCTTCACAAAAATGTAAAAATAAGGTGGGTGTGAGGTGGGAGGATCACTTGAGCCCTGGAGGTCGAGGCTGCAGCGAGCTGTGATCACATTACTTCACTCCAACCTGGACAACAGAGCAAGACTATGCCTTCAGAAAAAAAAAAAAAGAAGACAGTGCTGAAGTTGGGTTTCACAGAAGACAGTGATGAAGTTGTTTCATACAAGTGTCTGCTTTTGCCTTCAACAGAGATGGGATAAGACTGCAGGAATTTTCAGAAAAGATGCAAGGAGAGTTGTCACATACTAATTTTTTTGTTTGTTTTTTTAGAGATAGAGTCTCACTCTGTCGCCCACACTGGAGTGCAGTAGTTTGCTCTCAGCTCACTGCAATCTCCACCTTCCAGGTTCAAGAGATTCTCCTGCCTCAGCCCCTGAGTAGCTGGGATTACAGGTATGTGCCACCACGCCCAGCTAATTTTTGCACTTTTAGTAGAGATAGGGTTCCACCATGTTGGCCAGGCTGGTCTCAAACTCCTGACCTCAAGTGATCCACCCACCTCGGCCTCCCAAAGTGCTGGGATTACAGGGGTGAGCCACCCCCTAGCCTTGTAGCATATTAATTTAATGATGAGCAGGTTAGCTGGAACCTTTTGATCTGGAAAAGGTAGCTGGTATGGAATATCAGTCACTTTTTTTCGTGTGTTATGTTAATGTTTCCATGGGCAACCAAATTGCTACCAGTTTTTTCCTTAGGGTAAAACAGAGAAGCCTCATCACAAAACCCAATGACACCTAAACACAACACTCTTTGTTTTTGTTTTTTTTAGAGATGGGGTCTTACTATGTTGCCCAAGCTGGTCTCAAACTCCTGGACTCAAGAAATCCTCCCACCTCAATTTATTTTATTTTATTTTTTGTAGAGATTAGGTCTTGGCTACGTTGCCCAGGCTGGTCTCTAACTCTGGGCTTCAAGTAACACCCCCACCCACTGCTCGGCTCACCCTCCCAAAGTGCTGGGATTATAGGCAGAAGCCACCACACCCAGCCTACAATGTTTACAATTTGGTGATTTGTACCTCTAAGACTCTTCAGAAGAAAATACTTAGAAATGAAAATGGAACATATGGAAATGGATGGACATTGTTGATGCCTGGAATATAGTAAAGTCAAATTAGGGACACTTCTAATGTACGTGAACTCAACTATAAGTATATGGCAGAAAGAGGACAGAGTAAGAAAGGAGGGGGAGGCTGGGGGCAGTGCCTCACACCTGTAATCCCAGCACTTTGGGAGGCTGAGGTGAATGGATCACTTGAGGTCAGGAGCTCGAGACCAGCCTGGCCCACATGGTGAAACCCCGTCTCTACTAAAAATACAAAAATTAGCCAGGCGTGGTTGTGGGTGCCTGCAATCCCAGCTACTCAGGAGGCTGAGACAGGAGAACTGCTTGAACTTGGGAGGCAGAGGTTGCAGTAAGCCGAGATCACACCACTGCACTCCTGCCTCGGCGACAGGGCAAGACTCTATCTCACAAAAAAAAAAGAAAGAAAGAAAAGAAAAGAAAAAGAAAGAAGGGGAGAGAGAGAGAGGGAGAATATGGGAGAATGTGAAAGTCACAAACATTGCAGGGGAGCCCATCTACTTCTGAATCTTTGAAACGCCTGTGAGAAGGGAATTGGCTGTTGGCCCCTCACACTAGACTAGGCCAGTTTCCCCACCTGCTGGGTGTGACTCATGTTTAAAGATTCCTATTTTCCTTCAACGTCATCCCTAGAAACAATGTCTTACAGAACTGTTATTAAGTTTAGCCTAAAGCCACTTTGGGAGGTGAAGGCGGGCAGATCACCTGAGGTCAGGAGTTCAAGACTAGCCTGGCCAGCATGGTAAAACTTCGTCTCTACTGAAAATATAAAAATTAGCCAGGCATGGTGGTACATGCCTGTAATCCCAGCTACTTGGGAGGCTGAGGCAGGAGACTCGCCTGAACCCGGGAGGTGGAGGTCGTAGTGAGCTGAGATCTTACTACTGCACTCTAGCCTGAGCAACAAAGTGAGACTTCGTCTCAAAAACAAAATGAAAAATAATAATAATAGAAAATATTTATATTTTCCTTCAACATCATCCCTAGAAACAATGTCTTACAGAGCTGTTAAATTAAGTTTAGCCTAAAGCTGCCTCCTAACATATTTTAAGTTCTGCATAAAGGTTTCTCCATCTGTAATGGACTATAACCTAACTGCAGGTATAAACAGACCGTAAACTACTCATGTGCCAATCACTGAGTTTTGCCCAATCACAGACAGCCAACTGTTGAAGCCGTGTCAAATAAACCAAACGCTGAGCTGTAACCAATCCAGCTGTTTCTGTACCTCACTTCCGTTTTCACTTTCCTTTCCCTGTCCATACATCTTCTCTGACCACGTGGCTGCACCAGAGTCTCTCTGAACCTATTCTGTTTCAAGAGCTGCCCAATTCGTGAATCATTCTTTGCTCAACTAAACTCTGTTACATTTAATTTGTCTAAGGTTTTTCTTTTAATAGAGAGCAACTGAAGAAATGCAGTGATGTGTTCCGGCCCCGGGAACAAATAAACTATGTGTGTGGAGTCTCCTGGGAGACTCTGTACTTAAAGGCGTCTTTGACAATAGTGGTTTTCACCATCCTGGCTGACCTTGGAACTTCCCCCAACCTCAGTTCCACATGGAAAGAGATGGAGAGAATGAACAGGTCTCTTGCTCTGAAACCTTCAGTAACTCTCGCTTTGGAATACTGGAGTCCGCTGCAGTTTCAAATACTCTTGCTGGAGGGCATAATATCCTTTAACCTATCCCAACCCATTGAATTCATCGAAATGTGAATGTGACTTCTAAATCCTCAGAAGCTAACTAACCTCAGGCTGGGCATGGTGGCTCTCACCTGTAATCCCAGAACTTTGGGAGGCTGAGATAGGAGGATCATTTGAGCCCAGGAGTTTGAGACCAGCCTGGGCAACATAGTGAGACCCTGTCTATAAAAAAAAAAATTAGCTAGGCATGGTGGTGCCCACCAGTAGTCCCAACCATTCGGGAGGCTGAGGCAGGAAAATTACTCAAGCCCAGGAAGTTGAGGATGCCGTGAGCCGTGATCACGCCACTGCACTCCAGACTCTGCGATGCAGTGAAACACTGTCTCAAAAAAAAAAAAAATTAAAAAAGCTAACTTCCCAGTGATCTTGGACTCCTTGCTCCAGAACCTCTTGAGAAGCTTTTCTAAACCACCTCCTGGTCACCTGATTGTACTGCAAGATTGGCACTATCTGCTGAAAGTCACACTGGCAGCTTCTCACGTAGACACATGCTGCTTCCCCAAGTCTAAGCACCTTCTTTGTCACTCCATGCTCTGACCATCAGCTTGACAAAATGCCAAGTCGCTTTTGTGTACCTGGCACTTGAACACAGAGGTCCTTCACTTTTCCTCCTTTGTTGAGGGCACTTTGTGAGCAAAGAAGGAGTGAATTTGGCTCTTTTTATAGCCCTATCTAAAGGCCAGCCTTTTTTTCTGCAGCTGGAGGTGATCTATGCCACACTGTGTGCTTAAAAGGGATGGATCATCAGCCCTGCCCTCGTGTCAGGGCTGTGCAGAGCACATAATCTACCTTCCATTTCCTCTGCAAAACCACCTGAGGTTTAACTTGATGCATTTCATTTCCGACCCTGCATGAAGGACCACCTCAACACCTGCATGTTTTAGGAGGTTTTAACAATATCCACTTTGTCAATCATCTGGGATCTCCAGTCCACACCGTGCCCAGTAGGAAGCCAGTGTTCACTTTGCATGAGTAAAAACTCAAAGCCTAAACCAGGCACAGCTTATCTTAACCACACAGAGGGTTGGAAAAGGCAGGCAGCTATGCTTACTCAGAGTTATTTTAATGGAATGATCCTTGTCCTACTGTGTGACTGTTGTTCACCTAACAGGTATTTGTGTTTATTATAGATAATTCATTCAATATTCATTGATTCAAAAAATAGTGATTGTCCATTTTCTGTTGCTTATTACAGAATATCTGAAAGGAAAATAATTTATTACTTACAGTTATTGAGGCTGGGAAGTCCAAGGTTAAGGGGCTGCTCTGGTGAAGGCCTTGTTGCTGGTGGGGACTCTCTGCAGGGTCCCAAGATGGCACAGGGCATCACAGAGCAAGGGGTTGAGTGTGCTAGCTCAGATCTCTCTTCCTCTTCTTATAAAGCACCAGTTCTAAAGCCTGTAGTCCCAGCTACTCAGGAGGCCGACGCAGGAGAACTGCTTGAGCCCAGGAGGTGGAAGTTGCACTGAGCTAAACTCCAGCCTGGGCAACAGGAACAAAACTCTGTCTCAGAGAGAGAGAAGAAAAGAAAAGAAAAGGAAAACAAAAGAAAAGGAAAGAAAAGAAAAGAAGGAAAGAAGAAAGGAAGGAAGGAAGGAAGGAAGGAGGGAGGGAAGGAAGGAAAAAAGAAAAGAAAAGAGAAGAAAGAAAAGAAAGGGAAAGAAGGAAGGAAGGGAAGGGAAAAGAAAAGGAGGGAGGAAGGAAGGAAAGAAAAAAGAGAAAAGAAAAGAAGGAGAGAGGAAGGAAGGATGGAAGGGAGGGAGGGAGGGAGGGAGGGAAAATTGCAGGTAATTTTTCTTTGGACACTATCAGATCCCTCAACAAACAATATCGTCAGCCACACCGTTCTTCGTCACCTTAAGAAGTACGGAGATGCGAAGTATATTTTATGTTCATATGCTTTGATCAATCCCAATAACTTTCAATTTCCTAATTTCACATATGATAAATCTCCAAATGCTTCAAATAGGTCCATGGTCCTTCTGACCTGTAAGTGAAATCATTACAAACTGTTGTGGATCTGAAAGGGAGACACAGTGACTCCAATGAGTTGAGGATTATCCTTCAAAACCTCTCTACCTGTCATGGAAATGGATTTGAAAGGAATGCAAGGAGGTGAAATAACAGGTTTTAAGGTTAATTCGATGTTGAAGATAAGGCTGAAGAAAGAGTCAGGAATACATGTTGGACTCTAGTTTAGGCAACTGGTTAGAACTTTCAATCCCCATTGGCTGGAATTCTGTCTGGCACAGGGCACATGCTAAATAAATGTTTGTGAATGAAAAAAAAAAATCTTCCCTTGAAATGAATCACTTCCCTCAACTTCCTTATTTTTGTCCTATATTTTGATTGTTTTCCTAGTCATTCAGCCTGAAACTCATCACTGACTCATCTTGAGGTCCTGTATTAGTTGGGGTTCTCTGGAGAAACAGAATCACAGAACCAATCAAATGTACACACACACACACACACAGATTTATTATAAAGAATTTGCTCAGAGCAATTACGAAAGCTGAGAAGTCTCAAGATCTGCAGTTGGCTAGCTGGAGACCCAGGAGAGCTGATAGTTGTCGTTCCAGTCCAAAAGTCACTGACTTGAGCCAGGCACAGTGGCTCACGCCTGTAATCCCAGCACTTCGGGAGGCGGAGGCAGAGATGGATTGCTTAAGTCCATGTATTAGTCTGTTCTCACCCTGCTAATACATATCAGAGACTGGGTAATTTATAAAGAAAAGAGGTTTCATTGACTCACAGTTTTGCATGGCTGGGGAGGCCTCAAGAAATTTACAATCATGGTGGAAGGGGAAGCAAACACGTCCTTCTTCATACAGCAGCAGGAATGTGAAGAATGAGTGCCCAGCAAAGAGGGAAGCCCCTTATAAAAACATCAGATTTCATGAGAACTCACTCACTATCACGAGAACAGGATGGGGAAAACCACCTCCATGCTTCAATTGTCTCCACCTGGTCCCTCCCATGACATGTGGGGATTATGGGAACTACAATTCAAGATGAGATTTCGGTGGGACCACAGCCAAACCATATGAGTCCAGGAGTTCAAGACTAGCCTGGGCAACATGGTGAAACCCGTCACTACAAATATATATATATATATACAAAAAAGTAGCTAGGCATGGTGGCACGTACCTATAGTCCCAGCTACTCAGAGGACTGAGGTGGGAGAATTGCTTGAGCCTGGGAGGCAGAGGTTGCAGTGAGCCAAGATCACACCAAGATCACTGAACTCTAGCCTGGGTGACAGACTGATACCCCATCTCAAAAAAACCATCAATAACAACAGCAAAAGTCACTGACTTGAGACCCAGGAAAGACCAATGTTTCAATTCAAGTCTGAAGGACAGAAAGAAAACGATGTCCCGGCTTGCAGGTTGTCAGACAGGAGGCGTTCCCTCTTACTTAGCCTTTTTGTTCCATTCAAACCTTCAACTGATTGGAAGGGGCTCATCCACATTAGGAAGGGCAGTCGGTCTCACTCAGTCTATTGACGATAATGTTCATCTGACCCAGATACACCCTTGCAGACACGCCCAGAATAATGTTCGAGCAAATGTCTGGGCACCCTGTGGCCCACTCAAGTGGACACATAAAATTAACCATCCCAGGTCCTTTCCAATTAGTCACCGACATCTGTTCTTTTCTGGAGAGTTGATTTCTATCCTGGCAGGAAAGAGGCACACAGAAAAGAGGCTTATTGAAGGGAACTGAATGAGGGGACTGGTCAGAAAAGTCAGCACAGAATGAAGGGAACTTAAGATTGAAGGATGGTGATGCTTCCAAGGACATGCAACTGTAGGAAGATGCTACCACCTGTGGATTGAGGAGGCATGCAAAGGAGGTGGACTAGGCACTCACTGTCCAAAGCACTTAACACATTAACCTTCAAAAAAAGTTTTATTGGAATATAATTACATACCATACAATTCACCAATTTAAGGTGTACACTTACAGTCTTGCAACTATCATCACAGTCTATTTTAGAGCATTTTCATTGCCCCAAAGGTAAATCTTGCACCCTTTGCCATTGGCCTCTAATGCCCCCATTTCCCCAGCCCTAGGCACTCACTGATCTACTTTCTTTCTTTGTTTCTTTTTTTTTTTTTTTTTTTTTGAGACAGAGTCTCACTCTGTCACCCAGGATGGAATGCAGTGTCGCGATCTCAGCTCACTACATCCTGCGCCTCCCGGGTTCAAGCGATTCTCGTGCCTCAGCCTCCCGAATAGCTGGGATTACAGGCATGTGCCACCACACCTGGCTCATTTTTAAATTTTTAGTAGAGATGCTGCTTCTCCATGTTGGCCAGGCTGGTCTCAAACTCCTGACCTCAGCTGATCTGCCCACCTCAACCTCCCAAAATGCTGGGATTACAGGCGTGAGCCACTGCGCCCAGCCTACTTTCTCTGTAGATTCGCCTATGCCGGCATTCTAGGTAAATGGAATCACGCAATAGGTGGTGTTTTGTGACTGGTTTCCTTCACTTAGCATTTGTTTTCAAGGTTCAGCCATGACAACCCAGGTATTCTCATTTTACAACTAAGAACATTAGAGGTTACGTAACACTTGGTAAGTGGTAAGCAAGGATACCTCTCCCATCCCCGCCACTGGCGGTGGAGCCCATTACACTATGCTGCCTCTGGGTCCCCACGGAGCTGTCACCCAGATCTTCACCCACCCTCAAGACCAGCGCTACGTAAATGTCCCCCACTGGGTTCCGTCTTCCTGTCTCCAGGCCATCCTGACCCCACTGCCTAATTGATATCCACTCTCAAGTCCTGACTACATCTTGACCTCCAGGGCTCAGGGGACATCAGGCCTTTTGATCTGCCCAACACCTGTCCTCTCTTCTGGAACAGGACTCTGGCTTCTTCTGTGGGAACCACCTCTACACCACTCTCAGCCCGCAGGGCCCGGGTGGAGTTTTTCCCACGCCACCTGCTGCGGGAGCAACCATGTGACCAGGCCTGGCCAATGAGAGCTCCACAGGCCTCCCCAGTCCACAGTGATTGGGTAAAAGGGAGCGATGGGGAAGGGGTCTGGTTGTGCATTCCGCAGCTTCCCTGTGTTCTGCAGAAGCAAGAGGAAAAGACTGTCATCTTTCTTGTGGACGGAGGGGTGTTAGGATGTCCTATATAGAAGCGCTATGGCCATTTTGCTACCATAGGTGAGGAGGACCACAGGGGAGTGTGTGTGGGGTGGGGGGGAGGGTCATTGTGAAACTAGTATCAACACTGCGGAAAGCAGTGAGGAGACAGAAAGCGAAAGAAAAGTCAAATGTTTGGTTTCAGTTCCTGGATCAAGCAATACCTGGAGAAAGAGGTCTCTGGGTCCCTGATTTAGCAGAGCTAATAACTTCCTATTGGAAGCAAAGGTGGCTCACGTCTGTAATCCCAGCCCTTAGGAAGGCTGAGGCGAACAGATCACTTTGGGCCAGGAGTTTAAGACCAGCCTGGGCAACATGGGGAAACCTCATCTCTACTAAAATACAAAGATCAGCCAGGCATGGTGGTGCACGCCTGTAGTACCAGCTACTTGGGAGGCTGTGGCAGGAGAATCGCTTGAACCCGGAAGGCAGAGGTTGCAGTGAGCTGTGATGGTGCCGCTGTACTCTAAGGAAGCAAAAGTGAAATGTTTTCTGTTGCTTCTAAATGATAAAAGGGGGAAATATGAATTTCGTGTTCTAAAATTCTTTTATTCCTCAGCACTTAGAATAATGTGTGCCCTGAAAGCAGCCAAATGAATAACTTCAATAATTTTTTTTAAATGCCCACGTGGTCTTATTTAAATATACACACCTACACAGAGCATCAGCAAGTAAGTGCAACAGGTGTCATTTCTGTGCAGTTTTTTTTTTTTAATTGTTGCAATAAAGCCACTTGGAAATTAGGCATGGAAAATACCATACAGAGGCTGCCGCCCCAGCAAACCGGAAGTATGGGTGTTTGTCATTGTTTCCACCTGGCAAAGACAGCTTGGTCTGAAACATGTTTCCAGCTGTCACAGCACTGAATAAGTTACAGAAAATTGGAACAACGGGTTACATCTTAGCAGAAAACGGTGCAGGAAAAGTGGGACAGAATGGATATCCTGAATCAGCCCAGGCAAGTAGGATGTAAAGCGTGGGAAGTACATCCAAGCAGAGGCAGATTTAGGATGAATGCTTTTGTGGAATTAAACTATTGCTTCTTTTTAAAAAGATTATTATTAATATTATTATTTTTTAAGATGGAGTCACCCAGGCTGGAGTGCAGTGGCATGATCTCGACTCACTGCAACCTCCACCTCCCGGGTTCAAACGATTCTCCTGCCTCAGCCTCCTAAGTAGCTGAAATTACAGGCACCCACCACCACACCTGGCTAATTTTTGTATTTTTAGTAGAGACGGGGTTTCTCCAACTTGGTCAGGCTGGTCTCGAACTCCTGACTTCAAGTGATCCACCGGCCTTGGCCTCCCAAAGTGCTGGGATTACAGGCGTGAGCCACCGCGCCTGGTCAAATTTATTATTATTGAGACAGGGTCTCCCTGTGTTGCCCAACCTGGTCTCAAACTCCTGAGCTCTAGTGATCTGCCTGCCTCAGCGTCCCAAAGTGCTGGAAATCGCAGCCGGCTTAAACCATTGCTTCTTAACCAGGGCTACACATCAGAGGTCCTGTGTGAGTTTTTATAATATGTTCATCCCTTAGGCCCAGCCCCATAGCTTCTGCTTCAGTAGGACTGGATAGAGCAGGAGCATCTGTAGATTTTTTTTTTTTTTTTCCAGATCTCGAGTTTATTCTGACAGGCGTGCCCAGTTAAAAATCCAGGATTAAACATTGGGAAATTCTGTCTAATTTTGGAAATATAATTGGAATTTCTTTAAGTGGAGGGAAGAAAGTATCATAAAGAGAAATTCTCAAAAAAACAAAACAAAACGCTTTGGGAGGCTGAGGCAGGATCACTTGAGGTCGGGAGTTTGAGACCAGCCTGGGCAACACAGTGAGACTTCATCACTAAAAATAAAAATAAAAATTAGATAGGTATGGTGGCTCACACCTGTAACCCCAGCACATTAGGTGGCTGAGGAAGGAGAATCGCTTGAATCTAGGAGTTCGAGGCTGCAGTGAGATATGGTTAGCCTGGGCGACAGAGCAGACCCTGTCTCTTAAAAAATAAATAAATAAATCAGTGCAGCCCCTTGGATGTTGTTTGATACCTGAAGCTGGTTTTTCCACGTGGCTCCACTAGATAGAGACTAATCGTCCCCCTGTTTTCCTGTTTCCCTTTTCTGAAAAAGAAAAATGTATCCACCGAGATAGGACACCCGAGACGCGTGGACAGCGCAGACTGGAGCAGCCAGCCGAGCCCTCCGCCTCTGGCCATGCACACACGTGACATCAGTTCCCGTTCAACAGCGGAGATCGCGGGGCGGGATGATTGTGGTCAGGTTATCTTATGTATCATACATAACGCGCAGCACTCCCCCGGCTCTCCTGCCGGGCGTTGTCCAGCCGACCTTGCAGCAGAGCCTTGCAAGGCTCGCAGCGTGGGGCGCGGGCGCCCTCTGCCGGACCCAGGCGAGCGCCGCGGGCCCGAGACCTTCCTTGCCCTTGGCGCGCCAGGGAGCCGATCTCTCTACGCGATCCAGGATGAAAGGACCTGTAGTGTTCGGGCTCAGCCCCGCGGGGCTGCCGTTTCAGACGCAGGAGTGAGAGGATGCACGTCCTGGGGGCGAGAGGCGCCTTTTAAAGCTCTGAACACATGAGGTGGGAAAGCGCTCTGTGCCCCGGGATGCCCCGCAGACAGACATGAGCGGTATTGAGGCTGAAGCTCCACTTTGAAAGGTGCCTTTGGTTTCCCTGAGTTGGGAAACGTCGTGTTTTCTTGGCCTCAAGTCACCTGGCTCAAGGGATCTTAAGGAGGACCTTAATGAGGGTCTAGTGTTTTTATCAAATTATCAGAGGTATGGGATGTCCCAAAGGGTTAAAACCTTGAGCTCGTACTTCCTTCCCAGGGGTCCCTCCTTCTGAAAGATGGTCCTCCTAAGCGGTAGGGGCCCCGAAAATCCTGTGTTAGAAGTAACCCAGGCCGGGCGTGGTGGCTCACGCCCGTAATCCCAACTACTTGGGAGGCTCGCTTGAGCTTGGAAGTTTGAGGCTGCAGTAAGCAATGATCACCCCACTGCCCACCAGCCTGGACGATAGAAGGAGACCCTGTCTCAGGAGAAAAAAAAAAAAGAAGAAGAAAAAAGGCAACCCAGATGTCTACCAAGAGGCAAAAAGAGAAGATAAGGGGAGGAACAGTGGCTTAGTGGTTAAGTTTACAGCCTCTGGAACCAGGCCAAGGAGATTCAAGCACAGGCCTGGGCTGGTGTAGGAGCTGGGTCAGGTCAGCAGTGGTTGCCCTGGAAGAGTATGGCAGCCAATTAAAAAACGAGATGGGGCTCTATGAATTGACTTGGGAAGATGGCCAGTGTAGGTCACCGAGTGAAATGCACAAATCGCAGATCAAATGCATAATATTCCATCTGGGGAACAATACAAACCCAAACGTGTACGTGGATAAAAGATTTCTAAAAACCATCCAGAAAGATATACATTGAATTATTAATAGTGGTTGCTTCTAGGGAACGTTTGGAAGAAGAGCCTTTTTTTCTTTTTCTCTTTTTTCTACTTATATGCAGTTTATATTTGATTTTGAGGCAAGTATTACTTTTGGAGGTGGAAAAAAAGAAAAAAAAAAGCACTCTGTTAGTGGTAGGTTGCTACTAGCTTATCTCAAAGGAAGGAAGTTGGTAACAGAGTTTGCTATCAATCAACAGTCTGCAGGGAGATTTACTTGTCACTGAAAATACCCTTTAGCACTGCTGGAATAATTTCCTATGTGTGTACATGCATTATTTATTACAAAAGAAAAGTTTTAATGTTTTAAAAACAGGGCAATTTAACCTTGTCTTTAGTCCAACAAAAATGTATTGCATGTCAGGCACTCCACTAAGCCTTGAAGACATGGAAACCACCAAATTGGTGTCTGCCTTCCAGGAGCTTATGGTCTGGCTGAGTGCGCCTCACACTTTAGTGTGCTTCCACATCACCTGGAGCTGTTGTATTGGTTATCTGTTGCTACATAACAAATGACCCCAACACTCAGCAGCTGGAAACAACAAACATCATCTCAAATAGTTGCTGAGGGTCTATCTAATCACTCCTGAGTGATTCAGGAGTGACTTAGCTGGTTGATTCTGCCTTGGGTCGCTCATGAGGTTGGAGTCAACATGTTGGGGGCTGCAGTCATCTGAGGGCTGAATTTGATTCACTTGCAAGGCCAAAGGATTCACTTGCGAGATGGTGTACTCCCATGGCTATTGGCAGGAGACCTCAGTTCTTGGCCATGTGAGCATCTCCACAGATTAAGTGCTTTGTGTGTCCTCATGACATGACAGCTAGGTTCCCCCACAGTGAGTAATCCTAGGGGGAAAGGTGAAAGCTGCAGTGTCTTTTTTTAAAAACAACAACAACAAAAAAAAAACAAAAAACAAAAAAACAGATTCTGGCTCTGTCATCCAGGCTAGAGTACAGTGATATGATCATAGCTTAGTGCGGCCTCTAACTCCTGGGCTCAAATGACCCTCCCACCTCAGCCTCCCAAGTAGCTAAGACTGCAGATACATGCCACCATGCGCAGCTAATATTTTATTTTATTTTATTTTATTTTATTTTTGTAGAGATAGGGTTTTGCTATATCGCCCACAGTGGTCTTGAACTCCTGGCCTCAAGCAAACCTCTTGCCTTGGCCTCTTGAAGTGCTGGGATTACACGTGTAAGCCACACACGCCAAACCTTTACAGTGTCTTTTATGATCTAACTTTGGACGTCACACTTCATTTCCACCATGTTCTGCTAGAAACAAGTCACTGAGTACAGCCCACAAACAAGGCAAGGGGAAGCAAGCTCCACTGAACATAGGTGTATCAAGGAATTTGTGGACATACTTTAAAACCACATCTTTCTCAAATGCAAATTCTGTTTGAGTAGGTCTGGAGAGATTCCCAAATTCTGCATTTCTAACATGCTCCCATGTGATACCACTGCTGTTGGTCCATAGACCACACTTTGAATAATGAGGGAATCAAAGACTTGCAAAGACTTACAGTTCAGATCTCCTCTTTGGAACTGCAGTACTTGCGAGAATAATATCCTTTCTCATCCTGCCATCATCTTTGGATAGTGTCCAACTTTCAAATCACATTTTCCCTGAAAGGCCAGATCAGGAAAGTAAGAGAAAGACAAGATTACCTTGTTAATACACAAGGACAAGCTGTAATGGAATTAAAATCAAAGGGAGATTCAAAAAACCTCTCTGGTCTTGTTCTGGAAGCTCTCAGAAGCATAAAACATCGGCCATCAATTCTGAAGGGGAAGCTAAACAAACAGCCTGGGTTTTTAATAAGAATTGTACAAAGTGCTTTATGGGACTAAGACTCCCAGCTGCAGTACTTATAAAATTAGCTTTGACATGGAGGGCAAGAAATAGCACGGCGAATCTCAGAATGTGAAAACTTCTTCATGCTCTGCTGGCTTGAAGGGTAGTAAATATAAAAAATCAGTTTCTCATTTAACAGCCAGGATTAAAATTTGCATAAAACTAAGTAGCCTAAAACAAACAAACAAACAAAAAAAACTAAACTAAATCACCTGTATTTTTCCTATCGCTTTGGTCCATGCTAGTTTGGATGTGATTTGTCCCAACCAAAACTCATGTTGAAATTTGATCCGCAATGTGGCAGTGTTGGGAGGTGTTTGGATGATGGAGGTGGATCCCTCATGAATAGATGAATGCCCTCCTGCTGGACGAGTGAGTTCTCACTTTCTGGGGAATGGGTTAATTCCCAAGAAAGTGTGTTGTTAAAAACTGTCTGGCCTCCTCAGTTTGACTCTTTTGCATCCTGTCTAACCATGCAATCTCTTTGACATGCCCACTACCCTTCTACTTTCCACCATGGGTGGAAGCAGTGTGAGGCCTTCATCAGATACAGCTGCCCAATCCTGGACTTTCCAGCCACCAGAATTGTGAGATAAATAAATCTCTTTATAAATTACCAGTCTCGGGTATTTTGTTATAGCAACACAAAACAGATAAGACAATTTACATGCCATACAACTCATAATTTTAACATGTATGATCCAGTAAATTTAAGTATAGATTGTGCAACTATCACACTGATTCTAGAACATTTTTACCACATGAAAAAACTCTGTATCCATTAGGAGTTACTCCCTATTTCTCCCCATCCCCGCCCCTCCAGCCCTAGATGACCACTAATCTACCTTCTGTTTCTATGGGCTTGCCTGTTCTGGACATTTCATGTAAGTGGAATAATACAATATATGACCTTTTGTGTCTGGCTTCTTTCACTTAGCATGATTTGCATGATTTTTTAAAATTGTGGTAAAATACACATAATATAAAATTTGCCATTTTAACTTTTGTTTTTTTTTTTTTTTGAGACAGAGTCTCACTCTGTTGCCCAGGCTGGAATGCAGTGGCGTGATCTCAGCTCACTGCAAGCTCTGCCATCTGGGTTCAAGAGATTCCCCTGCCTCAGCCTCCCATGCCCGGCTAATTTTTGTAGTTTTAGTAGAGACAGGGTTTCCCCATCTTGGCCAGGCTGGTCTTGAACTCCTGATCTCATGATTTGCCCGCCTCAGCCTCCCAAAGTGCCAGGATTACAGGTGTGAGCCACCGTACCTGGCCAAACCTTTTTTTGTTGTGTTTCTCAAAGTTGCCCAGGCTTGAGTGTTCTGGTGCTCTCATAGCTCATTGCAACCTCAAACTCCTGGACTCAAGCGATCCTTCCACCTTGGTCTCCCAAAGAGCTGAGACACAGATGGCATGAGCCATTGTGCCTGGCCCCATGTTAACCATTTTGAGAAGACATTCCATTGACATTAAGTACATTAATATTGTTGTTCAATAATCAACATCATCCATTTCCAGAACTATTTTCATCTTCCCATACTGAAACTCTGGACCCAAGCATTAATGTTTTTAAGGTTCATCCGTGTTGTATCACGTATCACTACTTCATTCCTTTTTACAGCTGAGTAAGGTTAAGTGCGTTGTTTGGGTATATTGTCATTTTGTTCAGTTGATGGACATGAGTTGTTTCCACTTTTAGTTATTATGAACATTCACGTACAATGATTGAACATGGTTTTTTTTTCTTTTCTTTTTTCTTTTTGAGACGCAGTTTCGCTCTTGTTGCCCAGGCTGGAGTGCAATGGCACGATCTCGGCTCACCACGACCTCCGCCTCCCAGGTTCAAGGGATTCTCCTGCCTCAGCCTCCTGAGTAGCTGGGATTACAGGCACGTGCCACCACGCCTGGCTAATTTTGTATTTTTGGTAGAGATTAGTTTCTCCGTGTTGGTCAGGCTGGTCTGGAACTCCCAACCTCAGGTGATCCGCCTGCCTTGGCCTCCTAAAGTTCTGGGATTACAGGCGTGAGCCACTACACCCGGCGTTTTTTTTTATAGAGACAGGGTGTTGCTCTCTCACCCAGGATAGAGTACAGTGGCGCAATCATGGCTCACTGCAGCCTTGACCACCTGGGCTCAAGCAATCCTCCAATCTCAGCCTCCCAAGTAGTTGGGACTGCAGGCACCCACACCACGCCCAGCTAAGAAGAGGTTTTGCTATGTTGACCAGGCTGGTCTCAAACTCTTGGACTCAAGTGATCCACCCACCTCGGCCTCGCAAAGTGCTGGGATTGCAGGTGTGAGCCACTACACATGGCCATGTTTTCATTTCTGTTGGGTTAATACTCAAGAGAGGAATTGCTGTATCCTATCTGTTTAACTGGGGAACTACCAGATTGTTTCCTGAAATGTCTACACCATTTTTACATTCCTATCAGCAAGATATTGATGCAGGATTTTTGTTGGCCACTTTGCCAACCAGGGAACTCCATGAATGGTGATGCCCTCCACCTGGGCCTCACTTGGCCTCAGACCTGCTGCAGGAGGCACCCTGCCCACTTGGTCCGCTGGCTGCACCTGATTTGCACACCAGCTCAGCCTGTGGCTGGACCAGGTGTGCCACAGCCCACCTGTGTTACAGCTCGTACATGCATTTGATGGTTCCCAAGTTCTTATCCTGAATCCAAGAAGGATGAGGTTATGCTGACAATCAAAAAGCAAGGATGATGAAGAAGAATTTTACTGAGTGATGGAACAGCTCTCGGCAGAGAGGGGACACGAGGGTGGTCCCCCACGTGATGTTGGTTCATCGCTCCCCCAGTCTGGCTGGGTCCAGGGCTTTTATGGGCTCAGAATGGGGAAGCGCATACTGACTGGTTTCTGAGTACGCAAAAAAGGGTAAAACAAAGGCACCAAAGTTGGGCACAACAGTGTAAAAAAACAATTAAGGAAGGGTAGATATATGTAAAATAGGTGAAGCGTGGGGATCAGAGGAAAGCATGCCAGACAGGAAGACCGGTTCTCAATCCAGTCTGTGGATTTACCTGGGACTTGTAGTTTTGCTTTCAGGCTTTAAACTGTCTTTGGTTTGAGAGTCGGGTTTCACCAGGAATCCACCCCTATCTGCCTAGGCATGTGACTGCCTCCTGCTATTCTCCTCTCTCAAGAGGTACATCTAATTGCCGTTAGGATAAAGACCATGATCACTCTTAACTGCTTCCTGCTGACAGGGGGCGCTGTTCTTGGAAAACGGCAGTCAGAGCTCGCTCAGAGGGCTATCTAAGGGTCCCTGGTAAAAGGGGCAATCGTCTGAGATTCCGGTTGGTGTTTGATGACCTCTAGGTGGGAAGAGACAAACCAGGTTATTAGAAGACATGAAAAAAAAAAAAACATGGGGGTAAGGACAGCACAAAAATCCTGAGGCTGCCAACACACCCAGGTAACTTGTGGCTAGAGTTATGTCTGCTAAAATCTGGGTGCAAGGAGCTTGGCTTTGGTTAGCTTCCCTGGCCTTATTTTCCCAAAGAAACCTCCAGGTTATGGGCACCTCATTTACCCCTATCGCCTGGCAGGATTTGCAGGATAGTTGCCCAGAACTAGAATAGATTTCTTTTTTTTTTTTTTTTTTTTTTTTTTTTTTTTTTGAGACGGAGTCTCGCTCTGTCGCCTGGGCTGGAGTGCAGTGGCCGGATCTCAGCTCACTGCAAGCTCCGCCTCCCGGGTTTACACCATTCTCCTGCCTCAGCCTCCCGAGTAGCTGGGACTACAGGTGCCCGCCACCTTGCCCGGCTAGTTTTTTGTATTTTTTAGTAGAGACGGGGTTTCACCGTGTTAGCCAGGATGGTCTCGATCTCCTGACCTCGTGATCCGCCCGTCTCGGCCTCCCAAAGTGCTGGGATTACAGGCTTGAGCCACCGCGCCCGGCCTGATCCAGATTTCTATATTACCCATCCCTTGTTTCTTCTGAGTTGCAGCCAGAGATCACTAGTTGGTTCACAGGAATAAACAGGGTTAGTCTAAAATACAGACAAAAACTTAAAAACAACTAATAAGACCAGAATTTAATGACAAGTGCAGTAAGTTTTGAAATAATTTTTCTCTCTTCAGCCCTCATTTTTGTTAAAAACAAATAATAATAGGATTGTTTGCAAAATAAACTTTAGTCTTATACTTGGCCTGATTATTTGCATAAAGTACAGCAAGAATAATTATTTTTCATATATGCTTTTAAAATTGGCTCTAATGGAATTCTGTTCCATAAGGAATATCAGAAAAGACTTTTTAAAGTCAAGCCCAGCAATGGGTTTGTACCCTCAAATACCTATGAGTTGGGTAAATTCCTCTCTTCTTGAGGTCCCAAGATAACTTGGGGCTCCTGGACCTGTTAGAAAGTGACATTCTTTACTCATCATGAGGAAGGAGAGAGACCCTCTCATATTGTTTTATATTGTTTTATACTCAGTACCTGTTTTAAGAAAAAAAACAAGGAAGTAAAACCAATGCCCAGTGCCAGGCCCGAAACCAGGCCTGGGCCTGCCTGGGTTAAACCCAGTAGTTAAAAATCAACTCATAACTTAGAAACTGATGTTATTCATAGATTCCAGACATTGTATAGAAGCACATTGTGAAACTCCCTGCCCTGTTCTGTTTCTACCAGTGCATGAAACCCCCGTCACGTATCCCCTAGATTGCTCAATCAATCACAACCCTTTCATATGAAATCTTTAGTGTTGTGAGCCCTTAAAAGGGACAGAGATTGTGCACTCAGGGAGCTTGGATTTTAAGGTAGTAGCTTGCCAATGCTCCCAGCTGAATAAAGCCCTTCCTTCTACAACTCGGTGTCTGAGAGGTTTTGTCTACGGCTCGTCCTGCTGCAATCACAGGTTAGGAGCCCTGTACAAGGACTGTAGACAAGGTATGAGGCCAGTTTCTCCAAGAAACTTTTTTTTGGCTCTGCAAGTCAAGCTTGATTCCTTAAAGGGAAGCACACCCTTCTATCAGAAACTGATAAAACAACCAGTTTCTCCAATTGTGTCCTGTTGCAAAAGAAAGTGGATTCTTGTTGCACTTACGCAAATGACTACATTGCCATAAGAATACTCACAAATAGTTTCCAAATTCTAGAGAAACCAGCAGAGGAACAAATACACTCCAAATTTTGTTCACAGGAGTATACCTTACTCAATTGTTAAATGCTGTAAATAGTTCAAAATAAAAGTTTTCTTGACTCTGAAAAACAAAAGATCAGCAATGTTTTAAGCAAAAAGTTAAACGGATTACCTGTTTTCTATTAGTTCAGCCCATTCAGTTAACTCTTGTTCTGCCTGATAAATTCATGAATATTTCAGCTCTTCATGAGTCCTGAATATTTTTCCTTTATTCTAATATCACAATCTAAAGATATTGGAAATCTGCATTTAAGAGCACCTAAGTTCTATAGCTGATTACAAACCACCTCTTGAAGAGGATCAAAACAAGACTATGATTGTCTGTGAACGACAAGATGTCTTTAGACAGTCTCAGTCAAAAACACGATTGACAAATTTCATTATTTCTGTGGTTTACAATAACATAATAATCCTAATTCAAATTGATATCATATACTTAGAGATTAGAATTTTAGAAATCTCATACAATTTTGGAACACATATTAATGTTATTCACTAAAATGTAACCTGAAGAAGATTAAACATTATTTTTATTTTGGCAATCCCATGTAATTAAACATGTCAAATAATCCAGGGGCCCTCTGTTGGCATCCAAAAGTTAGGGGTCAAAAAAGACAACCTCGAAGCTAAAGTTTGATTTGGGGAAGCCTACTGAACATGTTAAAGGCTTAAAACACTTGATACTATAAAATAGAATTCCAGGTTATCATTAGCCAAAATGATGACTCAAAAACTTTTTTTTAAGGCACAAAACCTTTACTCATTAAAAGGGAAGACAACTTTCCAAACAATTTGTCTCTTGCCTTTCCCTTCTTTTTTTGGTAGTTTATTTGCAAGGCAAACAAAAATCTTTCATTATCCTTTACTATTACATAAAAATCTTGTTCAAGAGAGTCAAATTTCATCCTTGCATCAGTCTACTATTAATGTCATCCCCAATTTTTAATAGTACCTTATAGATAAATCTATCCAATCTTAACTAGTTTGAACATGAGGTGAGATTCTTGTAAACCTTTTATAACCCTCTACAAATTCTTGTTAAAGAGCAGACCAGTGCCTTAAGAAAACCTTCTTGTGCTTTTATTTCAAGGTTCAATTTACAGAAAAACCAAATAATATCCCTTTGAATTTAATCAGTATGTTCACACAGAGCATTTATTTTATAAGATTAATTTTTACAAACCATCCACAACTTGTTCAAACCTTTAGGTTTATCTTATCTAATTTCAAACAAACACCCAGCCTTAATTTATTACAATTATGATTTGTAGACTTTCACCCAATTACATAAAATTAAATTCACTCTTGGTTGAGGAAGAGAGAGAGGTAGCAGAGGATTAATCCAAATGATCCTGGTGTCCACTACCCTTCAAAGCCAGACCCTGGTGGGGCAAGTCCTGCCAAGTCATCAGGTGCTGATTAAACACAGAGGACTGGGTGGGACACAAATTCCTAAAATGTGGTTCTTTCCCAGAAACATCTTATAATCTAGTTCAGCGCCTTGCAGCTCCAACTCACATCAGAATCACCTGGGAGCTTCTGAAACCATTCTGACCCTGAACTCCACCCTAAATAAATCAAAACTCTTGGTCCACAAACTGAAAAAAAAAGTTTAATCTCCATGGGACATTCTAATGGGCAGCCAGAGAGGAGATCCACTGATCTAGATTTTTCATACATCACTTAAAAATTTGCAAATTATAAAATATTTCATTAAAGTATGAAAATTTGAATCAGTTTGGGGTTTTTCTTGGGGGGGGGTGGTAAAAGACCTTAAGGAAAAGATCGTAATTCAATTTCACAAATAATCCACAACTTAGTATAGTCTTCAATGGAAGCAACACGCCCGTCTTAGTCTGTTCAGGCTGCTATAACAAAATAACACAGTCAGTCGGGTGTGGTGGCTCACGCCTGTAATCCCAGCACTTTGGGAGGCCTAGGCAGGCAGATCACGAGGTCAGGAGATCGAGACCATCCTGGCTAACATGGTGAAACCCCGTCTCTAATAAAAATACAAAAAAATTAGCCGGGCACGATGGCGGGCACCTATAGTCCCAGCTACTCGGGAGGCTGAGGCAGGAGAATGGCGTGAACCCAGGAGGCAGAGCTTGCAGTGAGCCAAGATCGTACCACTGCACTCCAGCCTGGGTGACAGAGTGAGTGAGACTCAAAAATACCACAGTCTGGGTGGCTTATAAACATCAAACATTTATTGCTCAGTCCTAGAGGCTGGGAAGTCCATGATCAAAGTCCTAGTTGGTGTGTGCTTGTGAAGGGTCTGCTTCCTCAGAGCCCACACCCCTTGAAGTCTCACACTGTGGAGAGGATGAGGTGTCTCTCTAGGACCTTTCATAAGGCACTAATCCCATTCATGAGGGCTCCACCCTCATACCCTCACACTTCCCAAAGGCCCCACCTTCTATCAACTTGAGGGTGAAGATTTCATCATATGAATTCTGGGGAGACACAGACATCCAGACTGTAGCACTTTCCCACCCCTTATCACCCACAATTCAGAACGGAAACGATGGTCTTTCACTTACTTGATGGACTTCATAGTTCTGCTTGGCCAATCTCAAATACTCTCATGTTTCCAATTATCTTTTGTTATCAGTAAATCAAACTGTTTTTTCTCCTAAAGATTCCCGTTACATTATTAATGATTTCTCCTTGATGTTTTAGGAGAAAATGAGCCTGGTGAAGTGGCTCACACCTGTAATCCCAGCACTTTGGGAGGTAGAAATGGGAGGATCACTGAGTCCAGGAGTTAGAGACCAGCCTGGCAACATAGTGAGACTTCGCCTCTACAAAAAAATAGAAAGAATTAGCCAGGTGTGGTGGCGCACACCTGTAGTCCCAGCTACTTGGAAGGCTGAGGTGGGTGGATTGCTCGAGGCTGGGAGGTCGAGGCTGCAGTGAGCTGTGACCCAGCCTGGGCAAAAGAGTGAGACCCTGTCTCCAAAAAAAAAAAAAATGTATATATATATACACACACACACACGTATGTAAAAGAAAAACATGTATATAAAAGAAAATTAAGTATGAGACCAAACAAGGTTCAGCTTTGTTTGCTGTGACTTGAACAAGGCTGGTGACCTGTCGGTCTCATGGCAGAAAACACAACCCAGAGAAAAATCAACACTGCAGTTTTTTTTTTTTTAAAAAAGAAACCTTATAATTAACAAAATTCACATTGTACAAAAGTACAATGATAACTGTACACTTGTTTCTCTGCAAATGTCACTTGGTAAATTACTGTCATCTTTCATAGGCAGGCATAACTGGACACACTTTACAATCTTTCTGATAAATATATCGCCACTTTGCATCCAGCTTGGATAACGCTCTTCAGGACGGCATAGGCTGGAGCCTGTTAAAAACAATAAGCAAACAAAGAAACATGTTTGTGCTCATTTTTGGGTGTAAGATTCAGCGCTGGCAGGGCAGGCTTTGGATTTCTCGGGATGAGAAATAGATCTAAGGAACAATTTATTTTAGTTTCGAAGAAAGCTATTCAAAATGTTGGAATGCCTCTGCTACTGCCAAAGCATTGGAGTCATCCAGATTCTCACAGGGAAAGAAATGAAGCTCCTGGGAGGCCAAGGCGGGCAAATCATCTGAGGTCAGGAGTTCAAGACCAGCCTGGCCAATACAGCGAAAACTCGGTCTCTACTAAAAACAAAAAATACAAAAATTAGCCAGGCATGGCGGTGTGTACCTATAATCCCAGCTACTCGGGAGGCTGAGGCAGGAGAATTGCTTGAACCCGGAAGGCAGAGGCTGCAGTGAGCCAAGACTGCACCACTGCACTCCAACATGGGCGACAGAGTGAGACTGTCTCAAAAAAAAAAAACAAAAACAAAAAACGTTCCTGGGGAAAACGAGAAGGGATAAAGCAAGAAAGGAGATTCCCAATCTGGAACAATAACGCATTTCCTTGCTTTTTGTCAAAGCAACATCATTGGTTTTCTCTCCCTTTGGCTGTCGCTTTAAAATTTATTCTTCTGGGAACAGAAACCTCAACCTCCCAAATAAGGAGTCCCAAAGCAGAACAGGTAACAGTAGGGCCCTACCAATTCGGCATCATGTTCAAGGCCTGTGTCATGGTGCTCAAGCTCTTCATCCCGAAATTTCTTTATCACCTGGTTAAATAAAAAGACACCAAAGCAAGTTAGCCTTCCAACTCTCCTACTGTTCCATTTCATTTTGGAGGCTAAAGCCTCTTATTATGGCCTAAGACAGGGAGGCCAGCTTTTCCTCTAAAGGGCCAGGGAGTAAATACTTTGTCCCAACTACCCAACTCTGCCACTGTAAACAGAAAACCAGTGCGAGACAAGCAAATGGACATGCTTGCGTTCCAATAGAAGTTTATTTAAAGAAACAGGTGGCTGGCCACAGGCCATAGTTTGCCAACCTCAGATTTAGACTCTAAAAAACTAAACAGTTCCCTTATTTGCTGTGGAAAATTATCTCAGGATATCTATTCATTTATTTAATCTAAAGGGTTCCTGCTCACGCATCTGGTCAGAATCTACCAATGATAAAGAAGTGGGCCAGGTGCGGTGGCTCACGCCTGTAATCCCAGCACTTTCGGAGGCCAAGGCAGGAGGATCACCTGAGGCCAAGGCAGGAGGATCACCTGAGGAGTCCAACACCAGCTGGTCAACATGGTGAACCCCATCTCTACTAAAAATACAAAAATTAGCTGGGCATGGTGGTGTGTGCCTGTAATCCCAGCTACCTGGGACGCCGAGGCAGGAGAATTGCTGGAACCCGGGAGGCGGAGGCTGCAGTGCAGGTGGAGACCACTGCACTGAGAGAACGAGACTCCATCTCAAAAAAAAAAAAAAAATGAACAGCACCAGGTGGTGTGGCTCACACCTGTAATCTCAGCACTTCGGGAGGCAGAGGCAGGAGGATCACTTGAGCCCAGGAGTTCAAAACCAATCTGGGCAACAGAGAGAGATACTGTCTCTACGAAAAATTCAAAAAATTAAAAATAAAAGAAGTGAACAGGACAGGGCTCAAGAGACAAGGGTTCTGGCCAGATGTGGTGGCTCATGCCTATAATTCCAGCACTTTGGGAGGCCGAGGAGAGAGGATCACCGGAGCCCAAGAGTTCAAGACCAGCATGGAAAACATGGTGAGACCCCATCTCTTAAAAAAAAAAAAAGGCCGGGAGCGGTGTCTCACGCCTGTAATCCCAGCACTTTGGGAGCCGAGGTGGGCGGATCACCTGAGGTCCGGAGTTCGAGACCAGCCTGACCAACATGGAGAAACCCCATTTCTACTAAAAATACAAAATTAGCTGGGTGTGGTGGCGCATGCCTGTAATCCCATCTACTCCAGAGGCTGAGGCAGGAGAATGGTTTGAACCCAGGAGGCGGAGGTTGCTGTGAGCCACATCACGCCATTGCACTCCAGCCTTGGCAATGAGAGCGAAACTCCATCTCAAAAGAAAAGAAAAAAAAAAAATTAGCTGGGTGTGGTGGCATGTACCCATAGTCCCATAGCTACTCAGGAGGCTGAAGTGGGAGGATCACTTGAACCCAAGAGTTTGAAGATGTAGTGAGCTATGACTGTGCCACTGTACTCCAGCCAGGGCAATAGAGCAAAATCCCATCTCTAAATAAAAAGAAAAAAAGACTAAGGAGACAAGGGTTCTAGTCCCAGCTCTGTCTGTGCTGTATGGCCAGGGCAGATGGGTTCACCTCTCTGTTCCTCAGTTTGCTCACCTTTAAACTGAGGCTCTAAACCCCCACCATCCCCTAACAATCTCTAGTATGTTTTCCTCTTACCCAATTGCTATCTGCCCTTTTCTCCTTGAGCAGCCCTGTTTTAGAGCATGGACAAATACCTGAAGAAGTTCCTTGTATTTTTCAGGGTCCTCCTCCATCAGCTTCCTGATCTGGTTGTTGTAGTGATGTGCTATGCTCTCTTCCACCGCCACGGTGCAGGCCATTGCACCTTCCTTCCCGAGCAAGGCGGTCCCTGCCCCTGGGATTGTTAAACCCAGACCAGAAAAGAAAGAAGCAGATATGACTGGTAATGGAGATCATCTGTGGCCAGGGCTTCTCAACCTCTGCACCAGACACTGGGCTGGGTCATTCTTTGTGTGCCCCATGCATGGTAGGATATTTAACTGCATCCCTGACCTCTACCAACTAGATGCCAGCAGCGCCAACTAAGTTTTGACAACCAAAACTGTCCCGAGGGCTGGGCGCGGTGGATCACACCTGCAATCCCAGCCCTTTGGGAGGCCGAGATGGGCGGATGACCTGAGATCAGGAGTTCGAGACCAACCTGGCTAACATGGTGAAACCCTGTCTCTACTAAAAATACAAAAATTAGTCAATGTGGTGGTGGGCACCTGTAATCCCAGCTACTTGGGAGGCTGAGGCAGGAAAATCGCTTGAAGCTGGGAGGCAAAGGTTGCAGTGAGCCAAGATCGCGCCACTGCACTCCAGCCTGGGTACAGGGCGAGACTCCATTTCAAAAAACAAAAAGTACCTAGATATTGCCACATGTCCTCGTCAGGGGGGCAAACTCACCCTGAGGGAGAACCACTGTTTTAAGAGTGACTGGATCTCAGTGTTAAACCTGGAATTACATAGTAAGAAAAGCCATTCTCTTTTCAATGCTGTTTTATCCTGACTGTGGCCAAGAGAAAGTCAGCATTTGGGGTGAATATATCTTTGATCTTTTATACCATTTACTCTTCTCCCTTTTCTAAAAGAGTGAACAGACCTCAGGTTGAGAATCTTTGTCAGGGAATAGTATTTGGCTGCAATTGAATTATACTAGCTTTTTTTTTCTGTTGTTTATTTTTACTGTATTTTCTATTTATAATATGGACATTAGGCCAGGTGTGGTGCCTCACGCCTGTAATCCTAGCACTTTGTGGAGGCCACAGAGGGAGGATGGCTGGAGACCAGCAGTTTGAGACCAGCCTAGGTAACATAATGAGACCCTATCTCTACAAAAAAATAGACCTGTACGTGGTGGCATGTGCCAGTAGTCCAAGCTACTCAGGCTCAGAGGCTGAGGTGGGAGGATCACTTGAACCCAAGAGTTTGAGGTTTCCCTGAGCTACGACTATACCATTGCTCTCCAGCCTGGGCAACAGAATGAGACCCTGGCTCTATTTTTTGTGTTGTTTTGTTTTTTGTTTTTTGTTTTGAGACAGAGTCTCGCTCTGTCGCTCTGTCACCAAGACTGGAATGCAGTAGGCCGATCTCGGCTCACTGCAACTTCCACCTCCGAGGTTCAAGCAGTTCTCCCACCTCAGCCTCCCAAGTGGCTGGGATTACAGGCCTGCACCACCACACCCAGCTAATTTTTTGTATTTTTAATAGAGATGGGGATTTCACCAGGTTGGTCAGGCTGGTCTCGAACTCCTGACCTCATGATCTGCCCGCCTCAGGCTCCCAAAGTGCTGGGATTATGGGTACAAGCCACCACGCCTGACCTTTTTTCTTTTTAAGTACTGACATTAAGATTCTATCTTAAATAAATTTAAGCCACACACCAAAAAAGGTAGTCAATTTAACTCTGGAAAAATATGAAGTAAACAGAATGAGGTCGTAAGAGGACATAGCAAGAATTGTGAACATGATACCTGAAGGATGTAATCATTCTAGATCCCCAAGCTTGCATAAGCTCTTCTAGAGAGACACGTACCCAGTGCAAAGCCCAGCACGTTCCAAAAGGGCATCAGAACTGTCGGCCGGACCCTGAACGTAACCATCAACTCACTGAACTTTTTCAAATGGTCCTTTTCTTGATCCCACATTTTCTGTAAGAAACATAAAAATAAAGACATGCAAGAATTCCATAGAGGCCTCCCACTCATCCAAGCAGCATACAGGAAGCAAAATAGAAACGGAGAAAATGATGGGAACTGCTGTCTCTGCCATTCCCCTCAAAACGTCAATGGAAAAAGTAAGACATCAGAGTAAAGGAATCTTTGACAAAGAGAAGATAGCACCGAGAATACAAAACAATCTATTATCTCAATTCCAGGTAAGACTGCCATGAGCTACAGTTCCAGCGCAAGTCTCTCAGGCCCACAATGTGCCTAGTAAATAACAAGGGTCCACACGCATAAGAAAAGACATGTTTAACCCATTTCAAAATCAGGAAGGCGGAACATTAGCTGTTGTGTAATTTCCTTCCAGACTACTAGAATAGTATCATCTTGTTGTTGTTGTGGTTTGCTTGTTTTAAGACAGGGTCTCACTCTCTCACCAAGACTGTAGTGCGGTAGCAAGCTCATGGCTCACTGCAGCCTCAACCTCCAGGCTCAAGTGATCCTCCAACCTCAGCCTCTCAAATTAGCTGGGATCCTCCAACCTCGGTCTCTCAAATTAGCGGGCTAATTTTGTTGTGTGTGTGTGTTGGGGGTGGGAGATTTGCTGCTTTTTTTTTTTTTTTTTTTTGAGACGGAGTCTCACTCTGTTGCCCAGGCTGGAGTGCAGTGGTGCAATCTCAGCTCACTGCAACCTCTGCCTCCCAGGTTCAAGCAATTCTCCTGCCTCAGCCTCCCGAGCACTGGGACTACAGGCGTGCACCACCATGCCTGGCTAATTTGTTTTGTATTTTTAGTAGAGACAAGGTTTTGCCTTGTTGGCCACGCTGGTCTCGAACTCCTGACCTCAGGTGATCCACCCGCCACAGCTTCCCAAAGTGCTGGGATTACAGCTGTGAGCCACTGCACTCAGCTAATTTTTGTATTTTTTGTAGAGACGGGGTCTCGTCATGTTGCCCAGGCTGGTCTCAAACTCCTGGGCTCAAGCAGTCCATTGGCCTCGGCTTCCAAAGTGCTGGGATTACAGGCGGAAGCCACAACACCCGGCCCCAATTATTATTTACATCAGAGGAAAAAGGGAGAATGCTAGCTGCGGCTAACACTTAGATGGCACTTCCTAAGTGCCAGGAGCCATCAAAGAGCTTTATGCAAGCAATTCATTCAATCCACACAATCCCTGTGAAGGACACACTATGACTGCATACCTGTCTATGTACTATATGTCTCTGTGCTTTATCCATAAAAAGAACAATATGCTTTTTGCTCTCCATCTCTCCACCAAGAACCAACTTTCGCTCTCCTGGAGACAATGGCATCTCCCTGGGGAACGCCTGACCTCCCGCGATTCATTACTTGAAGGCCTTTGGATCTGCCCATTCGGTAGACCAGGGTGAGGGAGATGAAGAAGCACCCACCTGAATGACTGGCCCGACGCTTGTCCGACCCAGGACGGCCATCTGCCCGGCATAGATGCGGTTTGCTCCATATTCGCCCGCATGATCCACCCGGATTATTCGATCCACAACTGCCCGATTGATATTGTCTAAGGTCATTCCTGAACTGCGAAATCTGACAATGATCCTTCTTCCATAAGCTGAAATGCAAGTGTTTATTCTTCGTTACGTTCAGGTAAAATCCCAATGTTCCTTTTACAGACGGAAGAAAGGGCACTTTGGGATGGAGGTCACAAACGAGCTCCCCGTGGGCCAGGCATGCCCATAAATGTACTCTGTTTAACCTACAGTGTTAAAAAAGAGGATTCTACCTAAAGATCTGGATTTCTGGCTTCACTTTAAGTGTATGAAGATCTGGAAATGCTGAGCCTATCTTCTTACCAGGCAGTTAACATGGCAGCCGCTTCTCGATGGGCATGGTCCTCCAGTTCACCGGCCCTCTGGCACGTTTCCCCCAGCACATGCTGTACAGGATAGGCCCGTAGAGAGCTTTCAAAAACACGGTGCTCTTCCCCAATCGATCTCTGGGAGGAGGCTCTCTGAATTGACATTTTTTAGAAGCTATGTGCGTAAGTCTTTGCTTCAGCCAAGGCTGAGAACCACAGACTAAGTTCTCTTAAAACCCACACCTGCCGGGCGCGGTGGCTCAGGCCTGTAATCCCAGCACTTTGGGAGGCCGAGGCGGGTGGATCACAAGGTCAGGAGATCGAGACCATCCCGGCTAACTTGGTGAAACCCCATCTCTACTAAAAATACAAAAAATTAGCCGGGCGTGGTGGCGGGCGCCTGTAGTCCCAGCTACCAGGGAGGCTGAGGCAGGAGAATGGCGTGAACCCAGGAGGCGGAGCTTGCAGTGAGCTGAGATCGCGCCACTGCACTCCAGCCTGGGCGACACAGCGAGACTCCGTCTCAAAAAAAAAAAAAAAAACCCACACCTGTCCGGGCGCAGTGGCTCACGCCTGTAATCCCAACACTTTGGGAAGCCAAGGAGAATGAATCACCTGAGGTCAGGAGTTTGAGACCAGCCTCACCAACATGGTAAAACCCCATCTCTACCAAAAATACAAAAATTAGCTGAGTGTGTTGGTACACGCCTTTAATCCCAGCTACCTGGGAGGCTGAGGCAGGAGAATAGCTTGAACCTGGGAGGCAGAGATTGCAGTGAGCCGAGATCGTGCCACTGCACTCCAGCCTGGGCAACAGAGTGAGACTCTGTCTAAAACCAAACAAACAAACAAAACAACAGAGAAAAAATTTTAAAACCCCACACCCTTGGGCATTCGACTTTGAGACTAGCCTTAGAGTCTAGATTTCACCTCATTATGGTCCAAAATTCATTCAAAGGAACTCTTATCTTCAAAATGTAAATTCTTCATGACAGATTACATTTTATCTTTAAAAATAAATCTCCTAACCTTAACACTTTAATTATATTCGCTGAGCCTTATATTAGAGTAACTCAAGAGGCTTTTTCCCCTGCAAGGAAGCGTTTTGCAGCATTCTTAGGTGTGTAAGGTGTATTCACCTCATTTTGCAGATACGGAAAATAGAAACCTAGGGGTCATTTAGTTTGTAATGGTAGCTTCGATCTGCACTGGTATCACTTTTTGTTTTGAGACAGACTCTGGCTCTGTCGCCCAGGCTGGAGTGCAATGGTATGATCTCAGCTTACTGCAAACTCCACCTTTCGGACTCAGGCAATTCTCCTGTTTCAGCCTCTAGAGTAGCTAGGATTCCAAAGTAGCTAGGACTACGGGCATGCACCATCATGCCCAGCTACTTTTTTGTATTTTAGTAGAGACAGGGTTTCACCATGTTGCCCAGGCTGGTCTCGAACTCCTGAGCTCAAGTAATCCTCCCCTGTCGGCTTCCCAAAGTGCTGCGATTACAGGCGTGAGCCACCGCCCCCAGTCAGCATTGGCATCACTTTGTAATGTTTCAGCGCTCTTAGGCCGTGACTACCATGTCTTTAATGCATACGTCTTTTCACTTAGGCTAACTTCAACATCCAGCGAATATGTGGAAAAAATTCATTTTGGATACATATGTGGTTCTTTCATGACAAAGTCTTGGGTGTTTTGGACACGAGGTGATGAGGTGGGTTGGTGAAATTTGGGGTGGCTCTGCACTTGAAATCTTCTACTAGATGGGGCTGTAAATGTCACACTTTTAATAAAGAAGTGTGGACGTAAGTTCTGAAGCATAATGACCCAGCTTTGGTCCATTCCTCGGCATGATCCCCTTCATCTCACTGAGCATATCTGACTCAAAAGACGGATAGGCCCGGTGCGGTGGCTCACGCCTGTAATCCCAGCACTTTGGGAAGCCCAGGCAGGTGGACTGCTTGAGACCAGGAGTTCAAGATCAGCCTGGCCAACATGGTGAAACCCCATCTCTACCAAAAATATAAAAATTAGCCAGCCATCGTGGTGCGCCTGTAGTCCCAGCTACTCAGGAGGCTGAGGCGGAACAATCAGTTGAACCCAGTAGGCAGAGGTTGCAGTGAGCTGAGATGGTGCCATTACACTCCAGCCTGGGTGACACAGTGAGACTCTGTCTCAAAAAAAAAGAAAAAAAGAAACCAAAAACATGTGTCCCATCTCCAACACTAGCCTTGGGAAAATCAGGATCGACATTTCTTACACATAAAATTGGCAGTAATCATTGGTGACTCATACCTGTAATCCCAGACTTTGATAAGCCAAGGAGGGAGAATCACTTGAGGTCAGGAGTTTGAGACCTGCTCATCATGGCGAAACCCCATCTCTACTAAAATTCAAAAATTAGCCAGGCATGGTGGTGCATGCCTGCAGCCTCAGCTACTTGGGAATCTGAGGCAGGAGAATCGCTTGAACCCAGGAGGCGGAGGTTGCAGTGAGCTGAGATCGCACCACTGCACTCCAGCCTGGGCAACAGAGCAAGATACTGTCTCAAAAAAAAAAAAAAAAAGGCAATAATCAGGCTCTTTCCTTTTTAAGGGAAAACACATAATAATAAAATTATCTTACTGAGTTATGAGGATAAAATGAGATATAAGAAGCAAAGTAACTTTATAAACAGAAATGATTCTTATTCTGTTATGCTCACTGGCGAACAGAACAGCATTAAAATTCACATTCAACAACCCTCGGAGTTTTGCCTGCATTGCCACACACTTTAAAATAAAATTGAGGCTGGGTGCTAGAAGCTCTCAAATGCATCACTTTACGTCCATATTTTCCCAACGTGTGAAACACGCCAGTGTGGTACCTATGAAATTTTAAGTGGCTTATGGATATGCAATAAATAACCCCATGTAGTAAGGGGTACTCTTTTAAAATCTCTTGCAATCTTTTTTATTTCATTAAGGAAGATATCTCCATTTACAGCCGGCATATCCTCAACACCTTTCCCACACTTGCTAATTTCCCCTTTGTAACAGAAAGACAGTATTTAATACAATTTCGTAACTTTTTAATTTCAGTTTTTTTTTTTTTTTAAATAATTACTCATCCATTTGTGGCAAGTGGCACTGGCTTCCCATTCACCAGAAGGATTTCGTTTCAAGGAAATTAATTTAATTTTAAAATGGGACAGGGCTATAAAAAAAAAAAAAAACACATCTAGTAATCAAAAGTTCAAGCAGTACTGCCATTAGGCAAAAATCCCGAAGGTGGTACACGGTAATTTAACGTTGAGAAAACGACCTCATGACAAATTTTTTTTTTTTTTTTTTTTTTTTGCGGGGGTTGGGGAGACAAAGTCTCGCTCTGACACCCAGGCTGGAGTGCAGTGGTGCAATCTCGCCTCAACGCAACCTCTGCCTCCCGGGTTCAAGTGATTCTCCTGTCTCAGCCTCCTGAGTAGCTGGGATTACAGGCACCTGCCATCACGCCCGGCAAATTTTTATTTTTAGTAGAGGCGGGGTTTCACCGCGTTAGCCAGGCTAGTCTCAAACTCCTGACCTCAGGTGATCCTCCAGCCTCGGCCTCCTAAAGTGCTGAGACTACAGGCCGGAGCCACCGCGCCCGGTTTCATGACAATTTTCTAAGGCAGCACAGATGAAACAAGGAAAGCAGGAACCATGGTCCAAAACCATGTCTCTCTACTCCAAATTCGATGATCCTTTTACTACACTGATGGCTCTCAAAGTTTACAGTGCATGCAAATCACCTAAAGGGCCTGTTCACAGACCACAGATACAGACCAAGTAGGTCGGGGTGGGGCCCGACAATCTGTATTTCTAGCGAGCTCCCAGAAGTAGCGGAGGCAGCTGGTCGTCGGGCTACACTTTGCCTGGCAAGGCCCTGGGCAAAGACCACAAAAAGAGAGACTCCCTGAGACGCTAAATTTTCAGTGTCGCCAACTGTCCTCGACTCGGAAAGCTGGCTGCACCTGCCGTGACATCACTGCACAGGTGTGCCATGCGTCACTCCCCAGGCATCACTGCCGAAACCACCCCGTCTTCCCGTCACTCTCGCCACGAACTACAGGCCCCACCCCCGCCCGCCAGCGCCCCGTAAGCTGAAGTCACGCAGTCGCGCTCCGTCGCAGGCCTGTGACGTTACGAACGTCTCCCCCGTGACCTCTTCGACCCAAACCTCAAGCGAAAATTCCCTAGCTTGCTAGCCCAGCGCAGGACTGTGACTGCGCGCATCCCTTTACCTGAGAGCGACCGCCGGGCACCCGGGCGCAGCCGCCACAGGCAGGGAGCCGCCGCCGCCCCGGCGCAACTCATTGCCGGCACAAAAGAGCAACCACTTCGTTGAACGGAGCGGGCCAATACTGCCCTTGGCTCGGACTGATGACGCACAGCAGACGTAAGGCAGGCTCAGCTTGCCCGCGCACCGGTGGGAACGCCCCCTAGCCCCGCGCTAGGGGTTGGATTGGTTAGATACGACAAACAAAAAGATTATATTGGATGGGGTCACTATCAATCACTCGCAAGACCAAGGAAGCCAAGGCGCCTTGGGTTGCCAGGGAGATGAAAATGCTAAATTGCTGTTTCAAAGATCAGGATAGGGTTAGTGATTTCTCACCCAAGTTCCTGGGAAAGAGGATCATGAGGGAATTACTTATTAACAAGGCACGGTATTTCCTGCTTTACCTACGTGGAAGGAGGTTTTTTTTTTTTAATTTGTATCCTATATCTACTTTAAAATAGTAAGCCTGGGCAACATAGCGAGACCCCGCCTCTACAATTAATTTTAAAAATTAGGTGGGCGTGGTGGAGCACACCTATAGTCCCAGCTATTCGAGGGGCTGAGGCGGGGGAATAGCTTGAGCCCGGGAGCTCGAGGCTGCAGTCAGCCGTGATCCTGCCACTGCACTCCAGCCTGGGCCCTGTCTCAAAAAATATATATATATGTAATATATATATATAATATAAATTATGTAAATTATATGCACCACATGGTTAATGTGTTATATAATGTTGTCTCTATTGGTGGGCTGAAAGCCAACTTTAAACTTCTCCTCAGTCCTTTTCTCTATTTTCAGATTTTCTACAAAGAACATGTTTTATCTCTGGGATCTACCTTACTGTATTGTGTGCATGTGTGCATGTATATTTGTGCAAATTGGAATTTTTTGGGAAGGGAGAGGAAATTTAACAACGTACTTTTAAAAGATCATATAATACAGCAGTCTTAGGAATCTACTCAACAGAAATAATTTTTACATGAGTAATGTACATGAGGGCAAAAATCAAAGATGTATGTCTGCAAGGATATACAACGTTTAATATTGGCACCATCAGGGGGCTGGAACTGGGAGAACGGGGCTTTCACTTTCTACTTTACACCCTTGGATTATTTATATATTTTATCCAAGTTTACTATAAAATGTTTTAAGATGCAATACAATTGTAAAATTATTGAATTCAAGTTTTTAAGTTGTTTTTCTATCACCCTAGTGTTCACATTGACACACCAAAATAATTTAAAATTATGATTAACCCAAATACTTACTACTTAGTGAGGATGTTGTAGCACTCTCATGTAAAACTACTGGGAGTCTGAATCTGGCTCTCAAAAGCCTTAAAATGTTCAGAACCTTTGCTGTAATCCCACTTCTAGGTCTCTGTTTCCTTTTTTGTTTTATTTTTTGTTTTTGTTCTTTTTAGACAGAGTTTTACTCTGTCACACAGGCTGGAGTGCAACGGGGAGATCTTGGCTCATTGGAACCTCTTCCTCCCGGGTTCCAGCGATTCTCCTGCCTCAGCCTCCCAAGTAGATGGGATTACAGGTACACACACCACCACGCCCAGCTGAGACTGGGTTTCGCTGTGTTGGCCAGGCTGATCTTAAATTCCTGACCTCAAATGATCCTCCCACCTCGTCCTCTCAAAGTGCTGGGATTATAGGCGTGAGCCACCGCGCCTGACCTAGGTCTGTTTCTAAGGAGAAAAAATGTTGACAAAGATTTATAGATGTGCCTGTTATTTATTACTGGGAAAATTTGGAAACAAAATATTAAGCAACAATTGAATATCAAAACATTATGTCCGAGTGCAGTGGCTCACGCCTGTAATCCCAACACTTTGAGAGACTGAGGCGAGAGGATCACTTGAGCCCAGGAGTTTAAGACCAACCTGGGCAACATGGTGAGATCCTATCTCTACAGAAAACTTTAAAAATTGGTCAGGCATGGTGGTGTGTGCCTGTGATCCCACCTACTTGTGAGGCTAAAAGGATCACTTGAGCCCAGGAGGCTGAGGCTGCACTGAACCATGATCACACCACTGCATTCCAGCCTGGGCGATAGAGTGAGACTCTGGCTCAAAAAAAAAAAGAAAAAAAGAAAAAGATCTAACTGTATGATATTATGTAGCCCATTGAAATGTTTGTAAAAGCTTTTAATAACAGGAGAAAACACTATCTTTAGATTCTTCAAGAAAACACATATGGCCGGGCGCGGTGGCTCACGCCTGTAATCTCAGCACTTTGGGAGGCTGAGGCGGGCAGATTACGAGGTCAGGAGATCGAGACCACGGTGAAACCCCGTCTCTACTAAAAACACAAAAAATTAGCTGGGCGCAGTGGTGGGTGCCTGTAGTCCCAGCTTCTCGGGAGGCTGAGGCAGCAGAATGGCATGAACCCGGGAGGTGGAGGTTGCAGTGAGCCGAGATCGCACCTCTACACTCTAGCCTGGGCCACAGAGCGAGACTCCGTCTCAAAAAAAAAAAAGAAAAAGGAAAAAGAAAACACGTATTAAGTGAAAAAGAAATGAGAATACCAAAGTTCTTTCCTTCTTTCTCCGTCCTACTTCCCTCCCTCTGTACTTTTTATCTTAAAAGGAATTTTGCCAAGATTAACAGGGGTGCCCATAAATGGTGCTTTTTAACTTTTTGTCTCTGTTGCTTTTGCTGTTCTCTGTATTTGCTATAAAAAACAAGTATTTTTATAATGGCAAAACAAAATTTAGAAAACAAAAATGCATACTATTCCCTAATTCCATCCCCCTACCCACCAGATTATCCATTAAAAATAAAAAAAAACAGTTTCCGCCAGGCACGGTGGCTCACGCCTGTAATCCCAGACTTTGGGAGGCCAAAGTGGAAGGATCACTTGAGGTCAGCCGTTCCAGACTAGCCCAGCCAACAGGGCAAAACCCCATCTCTACTAAAAGTACAAAAATTAGCTGGGCATGGTGGCGCACACCTGTAGTCCCAGATAGTTGGGAAGCTGAGGCAGGAGAATCACTTGAACCCAGGTTTCAGTGAGCCGAGATCACACCACTGCACTCCAGCCTGGGCAATAGAGTGAGACTCCATCTCAAAAACAAAACGAAACAAAACACGCACACGGCCGGGCACAGTGGCTCACATCTGTAATCCCAGCACTTTGGGAGGCTGATGCAGGCAGACCACCTGAGGTCAGGAGTTTGAGACCAGCCTGACCAACATGGAGAAACCCCGTCTCTACTAAAAATACAAAATTAGCCGGGTGTAGTGGTGCATGCCTATAATCCCAGCTACTCAGGAGCCTGAGGCAGGAGAATTGCTTGAACCTGGGAGGCGTAGGTTGCAGTCAGCTGATATCGCACCATTGCACTCCAGCCTGGGCGACGAGCAAGACTTCATCTCAAAAAAAAAAAAAAAAAAAAAACCCCACACACAAAACCCAGTTTCCAAAATTTCAGGGAGACTGATATGAGTAATAATACTATTCTGGTCTCCTGTTTAGCAGTTCTGCATGAATTAAACTCTTTCTCTGTTGCAATTCATCTGTCCTGATGAATGGACTGTATCCAGGCAGCAGGCAAAATGAACCAGTTGGGAAATTACACACATACACCCTCGCTCCAGGCGACTTTATTTTATTTTATTTTTGAGCTCTCCTTCCAGCTGGATGCAGGCCGATCTCCCACTGCAAGCCCGCCCCCTCCCCCTCCTGCCCGCCTCCTGCACTACAGGCCCCCACCCGCCCGGCTTTTTTTTGTATTTTAGTAGGACGGTTCCTGTGCCGACTCCTGACTGTATCCCCCCCACCCCAAGTGCTGGATAGCTTGACCCCGCCCCGGCCGAGCTTTAAAAGCACTCATCTGAGGACTACATTCAACACTTCTTTCTTCTCTGTCATTTTAGGAAAAGGCGAAGAGCAACTTTACAAACTGTTAGAGTTTTCCATCATCACTTGACTGCTGACAAGAAGCCTCTTTGAATTCCAGTATACACGATCACATTTTAAAACCTTCAAGACACCATTTAATCAGGAGTTGTAAGGCACGTTTGTTAGAGAGAGCTGCACTTTAAAAATTATACAGACATCACCTGAGGTTATTAAAGTTATCAAAACATATAAAAACCTTCAAGTAAGAGATATGCGTATTAGCAGCATTTAACTAAAATTATATCAGTTAGCATATTTCAATATCACTTTTATAATAGGGAAAAAAAGGCGTACATTTTTGTTCATCACACACACACACACACACAAATAGAAAACTTGAATATCATCAAGCCTGGTCACAGTGAAAATGTTATATATATTAATATAAAGGCACTGGGCAGAAATGTTTATAATTACAATTTGTTTTTTTTCTTTTCACCTATCTTTTTTTTTTTTTAAGATAGGGTCTCCCTCTGTCACCCAGGCTGGAGTACAGTGGCACGATCTCGCTCACTGCAGCCTCCACCTCCCAGGTTCAAGTGATTCTCATGCCTCAGCCTCCCAAATAGCTAGGATTACAGGCACACGCCACCACGCCTGGCTAATTTTTGTACTTTTAGTAGAGACGGGGTCTTACCACATTGACCAGGCTGGGTCTCAAACTTCTGACTTCAAGTGATCTGTCTGCCTTGGCCTCCCAAAGTGCTGGGATTACAGGCATGAGTCACTGTGCCCCACAGAATGTATGTTTTTAAGTGAGACTGGAGTGAATCTTTGATTACTCAAAATTCCATGACACCAGTTATTAGATTTAGACAAGATCGGGTGTGTTCAGGGTGGTATGGCCGTAGTTATTAGATTTAGAAACCCATAAACCTTAACAAGTCAGGAAAAGACAGAAAAGCTCATTGGTCTCCCAGTTACAAAAATATCCCACTTTCAGTAATACCTTGTGGAAAAGCAAGAAAATGGCTGTAGGAAAGGGACGAGAAGACATCATTGCTCCTCTGAGTAAGGAGTCAGTCATGTTTGAGTAGTGGAGTGGAGATGGTGGGGAGAATTATTGTTAACAGCAACAGCTTTCTAAAACCTGCACCCAACTTTAAATTCCAGGCTACTCCCCAGGAAACGTGTGGAGCCAGTGAAAGGAAGAAAAACAATGAAAGGAAGGCTTGAAAAGTTCATTACAAAACTACAGTGCTTTGAAAAATATTTCAAAGATATTAAAATGAAAACTGATTACATGACACAATAACTTAAACTTCTGTTTTTCTGTTAAAAGGTTCACACCTATCCATTTTGGGTAAGCTTACAATGAGGTATTTATTGCATATGGTTTTTGCCATAACGGAAATCTTAAGAGATATTCTACGTTTGTTTTTTTTTTTTAGACAGAGTTTTGCTCTTGTTGCCCAGGCTGGAGTGCAACAGTGCAATCTCGGCTCACTGCAAACTCTGCCTCCTGGGTTCAAGCAATTCTCCTGCCTCAGCCTCCCGAGTAGCTGACATTATAGGCATGTGCCACCATGCCCGGCTAATTTTGTATTTTAGTGGAGATGGGATTTCTCCATGTTGGTCAGACTGGTCTTAAACTCCCCACCTCAGGTGATCTGCCCGCCTCGGCCTCCCAAAGTGCTGGGATAACAGGCGTGAGCCACTGCGCCCAGCCACATGTTTTGTGAAATAAAGGCACGTGCATTAAAAATTGTAAGCACGGCCGGGCGCGGTGGCTCAAGCCTGTAATCCCAGCACTTTGGGAGGCCGAGACGGGCGGATCACGAGGTCAGGAGATCGAGACCATCCTGGCTAACACGGTGAAACCCCGTCTCTACTAAAAATACAAAAAATTAGCCGGGCGAGGTGGCGGGCGCCTGTAGTCCCAACTACTTGGGAGGCTGAGGCAGGAGAATGGCGTGAACCCGGGAGGCGGAGCTTGCAGTGAGCTGAGATCCGGCCCTTGCACTCCAGCCTGGGCGGCAGAGCGAGACTCCGTCTCAAAAAAAAAAAAAAAAAAAAAAAATTGTAAGCACAGGAAAACAAACAACCCTTAAAAATGTGGATATGTGTGTTTAAGAAACCAGCCTCCAATTCTGTTTGTTATATATTCATGGGCTGGTCTGATTGACAGGCTGAGCTTGAGTCCACATCCCAAAACACTTGTGCACATAAACTCGTGGCTCAAATACTACACTACCGTCCCCGCTCTTTCACTCTTGTAAAAGCTCAAACGGCTTGTTGGTTTTTGGTAGAGTCGTCACAGAGTGGCCGGTCCGCAGGCAAAGGCTTGGGTTTCCCCTGCTTTTCTAAGTCACTAAAGCCCTAATTAAGGGCTGGGTTAGGTAAACACAGCTGCACGTATGGAAAAGCCTAAACTCCAGAAAAATATATTTTTAAATGTCCACTCAAAACCCAGGTAGACTCTGTAGGCTCAGCAGAATCACTAGGTCAGCTTAGAAGCAACAGGCAGCGCCATCTTCATGCTCAGTCTAGTTAGTTCCTCGTGTCCCTTTGGGCTTCTGTTAGTTTCTGGATTAGGTAGCGCTTGTCACGACTTTCCTAAAAAATAATAGGTTCACATGTGCATTTAATATATTTGGAAACAAATACCATCATTACCTACCAGACTGAGGGCTGAGGATTCTAACCACTGGACTATTGTAATGACCTCTCATCTAGTCTGTCATTGTGTCCACGCCACAGCCCCTTGTCCACAAAGCAGCTGATCCTTTTTTTAAAAAAAATGCACAGTACAACCGGATGTGGTGGCTAATGCCTGTAATCCCAGCACTTTGGGAGGCCGAGGCAGATGGATCACCTGAGGTCGGAAGTTTCAGACCAGCCTGACCAACATGGTGAGACCCCATCTCTACTAAAAATACAAAAATTAGGCCGGGCAAGGTGGCTTACGCCTGTAATCCCAGCACTTTGAGAGGCCGAGGCAGGTGGAGCACCTGAGGTCAGAAGTTTGAGACCACCCTGACCAATGTGGTGAAACCCCATCTCTACTAAAAATACAAAAATTAGGCTGAGCAAGGTGGCTCACGCCTGTAATCCCAGCACTTTGGAAGGTTGAGGCAGGTGGATCACCTGAGGTCAGGAGTTCGAGACCAACCTGGCCAACATGGTGAAACCCCGAAACCCCGTCTCTACTAAAAATACAAAACATTAGCCGGATATGGTGGCGGGTGCCTATAATCCCAGCTACTTGGGAGGCTGAGGCAGGAGAATTGCTTGAACCCGGGAGGCGGAGGTTGCAGTGAGCAGAGGTCGCGCCACTGCCCTCCAACCTGGGCAATAAAAGCGAAATTGTCTCAAAAAAAGAAAAAAAAAATAGCCAAGCAAGGTGGCGCACACCTAGCTAGTAATCCCAGCTACTCGGGAGGCTAAGCAGGAGACTTGCTTGAACCCGCGAGGTGGAGGTTGCAGTGAACTGAGATCACACCACTGCACTCCAGCCTGGGCGACAGAGTGAGACCCTGTCTCAAAGGAAAAAAAAAAGACTGGCCATCACGGTGAAACCCCTTCTCTACTAAAAATACAGAAGTTAGCTGGTTGTGATGGTGGGTGCCTATAATCCCAGCTACTTGGGAGGCTGAGGCAGGAGAATCGATTGAACCCGGGAGGTGGAGTTTGCAGTGAGCAGAGATTGCAGCACTGCACTCCAGACTGGATGACAGAGCAAGACTCTGTCTCAAAAAAAAAAAAAAAAAAAAAATGCACGGTAGACTCCTACATAACACCCTTCAGTGGCTTCCCATCCCACTCAGAATAAAACTCTGTTTTAACAGAGCCCTCGAGGCACTGTGACTCGATGACTCTGGCTGCTATTACAGTATCACCTTGCCTCTTCCCATCACTCACCACCCTGTGGCCACACCACCCCCTCCCTCCTGTTCCCCAGAAGTGCCCGGCTCATTTCCTCACTGTGCTCTTTCCCTCTTACTCTCATCCTTAAATAGGACCTCTGATAATGGGCTCCTCTCTCTATTATTCAAGTCTCAGCTGGGTCCAGCTATATAATGGTTTCACCATTATAGGCTCATGCCTATAATCCCAGCACTTTGGGGGACTGAGAGGGGATAATCACTTGAGCCCAGGAGTTCAAACCAGCCTGTGCAACATAAGGAGACCTCATGTCTTTAAAAAATTAAAAAATTAGCCAGGCATGGTGATGTATGCCTATAGTCCCAGCTACTTGAGAGGCTAAGGTGGGAGGATGACTTGAGCCCAAGAATTTGAGGCTGCTGTGAGCTATGACCATGCCATTGCACCCCAGTCTGGGCAAGAGAGTGAGACCCCATCCTAAATTTAAAAAAAAAAAAAATCACCTCCTCAAAGAAGCCTTCTACAGCCGCATCTGCAGTAACAGATAGCCCACTCGTCACTCTACCTTGTTTTTATTATCTTCAGAGAAGCTATAATTAATCAGCATTTATCTTATTAACTACTCAGCAGTTTTGTTTTTTTGTTTTGTTTTGTTTTGGTTTTTGTTTTTGTTTTTGTTTTTTGAGACGGAGTCTCACTCTGTCGCCCAGGCTGGAGTGCAGTGGCCGGATCTCAGCTCACTGTAAGCTCTGCCTCCCAGGTTTACGCCATTCTCCTGCCTCAGCCTCCCCAGTAGCTGGGACTACAGGTGCCCGCCACCTCGCCCGGCTAGTTTTTTGTATTTTTTAGTAGAGATGGGGTTTTACCGTGTTAGCCAGGATGGTCTCGATCTCCTGACCTCGTGATCTGCCCATCTCGGCTTCCCAAAGTGCTGGGATTACAGGCTTGAGCCACCGCGCCTGGCCTTACCCAGCAGTTTTATCTCTTGTTCACCAAAGTGTCCCAGCCCAGCACAGTACAAGGCACAGAGTAGGTACTTAATACACATCTTTTTTTATTTTTATTTTTGAGATGGAGTCTCACTCTGTCGCCCAGGCTGGAGTGCAGTAGCACAATCTCAACTCACTGCAACCTCCACCTCCTGAGTTCAAGGGATTCTCCTGCCTCAGCCTCCCAAGTAGCTGGGATTACAGGTGCCCACCACCACGCCCAACTAATTTTTGTATTTTTAATAGAGACAGGGTTTCACCATGTTGGCCAGGCTGATCTTGAACTCCCGAGCTCAAGTAATCTGCCTGCCTTGGCCTCCCAAAGTGCTGGGATTACAGGCATGAGCCACTGTACCCCCGTTAATACACATCTTGAAGGAATAGATGAATCAGTGAATTAATGAAGCTGGACGGGGCCAGGCCTGAAGGCAGAGTTTTGGGGAGGTGGTGGTGAGAGAAGGCTGCAGTAATTTCACTCCCTCCCAGGAATACACCACTTTCCTTGTGGTGTCCTGGGTAAATGTCCCCAGTCATGACCCTCTGGGGCTGTGCTTCCTTACCAGGGATAGCTGCTCTCGGAGCTGGATGACCACCCGTTTGTGTGCTCCAGCTAAGGCAATGAAGTAAAACATGATGAGGCTGCAACACAAGACAGACAGGTCACTAGGGAGTCTGGATAATCTGAAGGCCACTAGAAAAACAACCCAACGTATTTTTCCTTGAAACAGTTTTACTTTTGTTAGAAAAGAAGGCTGGGCACGATGGCTCATTTTCATATTCCCAGTGCTTTGCCCAGGCAGAAGGATCACTGAAGGCCAGGAGTTTGAGACCAGCCCAGGCAACATAGTGAGAGCCCCATCTCTAGAAAAATAAAATATGGCCGGGCGCGGTGGCTCATGCCTGTAATCCCAGCACTTTAGGAGGCCGAGGAAGGCAGATCACCTGAGGTCAGGAGTTTGAAATCAGCCTGACCAACATGGTGAAACCCCGTCTCTAATAAAAATACAAAAATTAGCTGGGAGTGGTGGTGGGCACCTAGAATCCCAGCTACTCAGGAGGCTGAGACAGGAGAATCGCTTGAACCCAAGAGGCAGAGGTTGCAGTGAGCCAAGATCGCGCCACTGCACTACAGCCTGGGCAACAGAGCAAGCCTCTGTCTAAAAAAAAAAAAAAAAAAAGAAAATGTAAAATTAGCCAGGCATGGTGGCGTGAGCCTGTAGTCCTCAGCTGCTCAGGAAGCTGAGGCAGGAGGATTTGAGCCCAGAAGTTCAAGGCTGCAGTGAGCTATGATCGCACTACCATACTCCAGACTGGGCAACAGAGCCAGACCCTGCTCTACAAAAAATAAAGAAAACCCTCATCTCTTCCAAGCAGAGGGTATAAGAAACAGCTACTGAAGTTTTTATTTGGCAGTGGCAGCAGAATCTGATTTATGCCTTGC